ATAAGGGTAAGTGATCAATTATTGTCTTCATAAAATACATATAACTCCGCCTGTAGCTCCTCTGTGGGTTACTGCCAGTCCCAAGCCCGGGTAAAGGAGGAGGGTTGGGCATGGGGTAAGCGACTCCATCCCGTAGAAAATCAACTCGCTAAAAAACGCTAACCAGAAAAAATCATTCAAATCTTTCATACTCTGCCCTGGGAGTAGAAGGAATAATTATGACGTCTCATGATGAATGCCGAGTTCCTTCGGAAGTCATGAAGCCGATGCACCTTCTCAAAACCAGAGCGACAATTTTTATAGGTACATGAAATGTCCGAACAATGTGGAAGACCGGAAGAGTTTTCCAAATTGCTGCAGAAATGAGAAAATACAACCTGGAGGTGCTTGGAATCAGCGAAACACATTGTTCGCAGGTTGGACAACAACGACTGTCTTCAGGAGAACTTCTGTTATACTCCGGTCATGAAGAAGAAAATGCCCCACATACACAAGGAGTTGCATTGATGCTGTCCAGAAAAGCACAAAATGCACTTGTAGGATTGGAATCTCATGGACCAAGGATCATCAAAGCCTCCTTCAGAACAAAGAGAGGGCATTACAATGAACGTCATCCAATGCTATGCGCCTACCAATGACTACGATGAAGACGCTAAAGACCAATTCTACGATAGGCTGCAGTCGACCTTCGAAAATCTTCTCTACCACCTCAAAATATTTCTATTTGATTCATTTTTAAGAAAAGGTTTAATCGGAATTTTCAAAATAAGATAGAATAAACGGATGAATTATGAATCCAGGAGTACAGCTCTAAAATGGAACAACTAATGAGAGTATCATTGTTGCATGAATTCTATGATGTTTCTTGTTGAAACTTGTATGTGTTTGTATACTACTTACTAGTCTTAATTGATTGATCACTGGGTGGTGATCAATATCATGCGTGTCAAGTTCTTCTTAGTGCTGGTTGAATGCTATCGATCAAGTTGCAATGTGGCCACTAGTCTAGGTGGCTTGACACTGTGTGCACTATGTTGAGATAAGATGGTGGTAACGTCTCTGACTGTGAAGCTGAGTGACATGGAATCGAATCGTCAGGGAGCACCGGTTCCCTCGAGATTACAGCTACACCTTGATGACGAGTGCCAAGTAGCACGAAACCCGGGTCCAGAGTTTCTTGTTGACCACCTCCAACTACCATCTTACTACTTACTTGTGTTTGAATGAAGAAATACACCAAAAAAAATCACATATCAACTTATTCAAATTGATGACTTAAAAGTAAAATCATTGTAGATTGAATACACTGGTTTTCATTTAGTTAACTGGTGCATTTTACGTCAGTAATCAGAATTTACTACATTAAAATAATCAGCCAGTTCTTATTTTTAAATAGGAATTTACACTTAACACTCATATGAAGTGAAAGCCATTCTCCACCTAATGTTTTTCCTTCTGTTTCATCCTCTCAAACAGTCTTAAATCTTTTATCATTGTAGAATTTTTCATTTATTTTCCAGGGTTTGTGTCTTCTCATTGTTGATTTTTTAAAGACTCCAAGTGATCAGTCTCTTTTTGAATACATACATCCAGAAATGACAGACTTGATATTGACGATGGTTGAAGAGCAATTTAATCAACATTCTGAGGGTCCTTAGTATACAAACCGATAAGATTTTATTTTCGTTGCAAAAGTCAGTGGTTATTTGTAATGCGAAGCTGAGTATAGCCAACCCTAAGTGTTTCGGGCGAATATTACCGCGTTCAAGTTTCGATGTAAATATGAACAGGGGTGCAAGTACATTTAATTAGTCAGACTAACTTCTAGCCACTATATACATATATATCAATTAGGAAGATTTATGCTAAGAAATATAACTTATGTCTCAATAACAATCAACCATAATTGTCTAAAATGCTTTCATAGTGAAACATACTCCAAAATACACCATTTTATATTTTTCATAGCATTGGGAGATGAACGTAAGTTATCAAACAATGTTCATCAACTAATTCATATTCATAATAGTACTTAGACTGTCAGATTCATCACTGTGTTCTATGTATTCTTATAAAACTTGTATAATCATCGAAATGTGGTTATAGTGACTGAAAGTTGACTACATAAATTGGAAAACAATTTCGCTCTATCTAAGAATATGTTGATAATGAATTTTTACATTATTACTTAAAAATTTAAAGAACTGAGATAGCTTGAATTGTTTCAAATATGGTTATGAAGTTTCAGTAAATGGATTTGCTGATGGGAACATTTGATTACATGAAATGTATGAATTTCTATACTAAACATATTGAGAAAGATGAATAGTGGCTACCAGTGGAATTCAGGACGTGCGTTTCATCCTATTTGGGAATCGTCAGCTGGATTTACATGCATCTCAAAGTTGATGTTCACTCTTGGACTCGAACTCAGTACCTTTCACTTGAAACGTCATCGCGTTATCCACTCGACCACTGAGTCTGACTGACCAGTCACAGTCCTAAAAACATCAATAGGAAGATCCAAACAAACAATACTAAGTAAACAGATTAGGTTTAGAGGCATCAATACCAAGATTATACTTGATAGTTTCAAATAAATTGAGAATTTGGTGGAGAGTTAATGATAAATATATTTTTATTAGAAGGGGTTTTTGTGGATATTATAGTAATTTTAGTAGTTGAAATCCTGAATCAATTGAAACTTGACCACATGGAAAACATGGAAGCACTGGACGACCGTTTTGTCCTATTATGGGACTTCTCAGCGGTATGCATCTACGAGACTGACAGGTCTTGGGTTAAAATCCCATGAGTTGGGATCGTGGATGCGCACTTCTGAGGAGTCCCACGATAGGAAGAAACGGCCTTCCAGTGCTTCCATGTTTTCCATGATGGTCTACCTCCAATTGATCCATGATCTCAACTATTAAAATATATTTTTGTTATATCTCAATGAGTAAAATAATTATATTTCTGACGTTTCATGTCTCAGTGTAAACTACTTCTTCAGACTAAATAAATAACCAAAATTAAATTAAATTAATGATAATTCGATTTTTGTTAACAATAAAACATTTCAGCTTCCACACACACCATTCCTTTCTGTATTAAGAAAAATGTAACTTAGACAAAATCATACGTCAACTGACCCAAATCACTGATTTACAATTTGAACCATTGGAGAGTATTTGTCACCGGTTATTAGTTAATTAGTTAAAACATTTGACATTAGTGACCGTAATTTTATTAGATTAAAAGCACTAGCAAGTTCCACCTTACAAACGGTATTCTAATCACTCATGAGCAAAATGAACCACACAATAATAGACAAGTTTTATTAAGCCGTTTACAACAATCGACTATTTACAAAGAAATCGATAGAATGTATTACAAATCTTTTGATGTAACTATCTTATATTGTAAATAATGCACCCCATTTACTCCTTTAACGATTAATGTAGTGACGCTGTTTTACATGAGAAATAAATATAATATTCCTATATATATGAAAATACTAATTTAACCAAATCTATCATCTATCATCATTCAGCCAACAGCTTTATCGTATATATTTGACAATCTGTTTACCCATTGGGAACCACAGTTCACACGAGAATAGACACTATTATAAAACGATTTAACATGAGGTTACCTAACTAAATTCATTTAGTATTGTTTGTTTGAATCTTCCTATCGATGTGTTAGGACTGCAACTGGTCAGTCTCTAATTGGCATATGTGCATACTATGCGTATTACCTCGATATAACCTTATTTCACAAGCATGGTTAGCAGAGATGAATAGTGGCTAGCAGTGGAATCCAGTTTAAAGCGCGTTTCGTCTTATTTGAGACTCATCAGCTGGATGTACCTGCATTTCAGAGTTGATGTTCACTCTGGGTTACCGATCTAAATTGTTACTTCAATTAAATTTTTTGTACCGATTGATATTTTTGAAATATTTTTCAAGCTCTACGTGAACCTAGTAAGTCATCAAATAATATCTCGATAATATTTTTTTAATATATATATACCACTTAATTCGCGACTTTTGTATAGTTTGAACAGCCATATCAATCATTGATAGTTGATGTATATTAATAATCATGCCATGATATTTGTGGACAGACTGTTCTTTTACACGATACTATACCATTTATTAATAAAGCTTCAAGTTCACCTATGGGGACGATGCATCATTTATGTCAAAATCAATCACATTAGATCAGTATTTCGAAATTTAAACCATTTTAGATAGTTGGTAACCGACATTTAATTGATTAGTTAGTATTTCTCATGGTATCGTCAACAATCCACTGAACTGAAACAACGAATCATTTTCCACTTGCAAGTGAGAGATCAACAATATATAAAGCAGATCAATCATTACAAAGATTGTAAGATTCAATTATACACTTTGAATTCTAATTTATAACTTTTCTATGATAAGTTCTTCGAAAGTAAGTAATGGATAAGACATTTTTGCACTAATACTTCAGTAGGAGTATGTACAATTCTTCTTCTTTATATTAAACTTAGTTAATTGGGATGAAGTGAACAAAATAAGTATGTTTTAATTTGTATAACTTGAGAATGTAAAGCTTATGAAATACCTTTTTTTGAAAAAAAGTTCATTTATAACTTTGCACTACATTACTTATTACTGACACCTGGATGGGTTCTCAATTTCGTGGATTGTCTGAAGCTAGACATTAACACCGTTGGATACCAGCCGGCTCAGTGTTTAATCGGTGAAGTGCTCTGACGCGACACTGATAGGTCCTGGTTTCGAATCTCATGAGGCGGGATCGTGGATGCGCACTGATGAGCAGTCCCACAATAGGACGAGTTGGCTGTCCAGTGCTTCCATATTTCCCACTGTGGTCTAGCTTCAATTGACTCATGATCTCAACTATATAAAATTACTAAAATTCTCCACAAAACCCCCTTCTGAATATTCTTTGTCTAATTTACAGATGATGTAGAGAGAGGAATAACTATGTTCAGAAAAAATGAAATGTTATTAAAGAGTCAAATAAGTAAGTGAAATATGGACTGATTTCTAATTTTCAATATACATAAATACAAAACTTTGATAACCCACATATCTTAAACACACTTTCATGCATAACACAACTTATTAACGCTTAAAAATGAGGTTGAAAGATGAAGCAACTATCTATAGTAACGAGTTATTCAGTACATCTTATCAACTTAGTCATTTTGAATGATGTTCAACTGAAATTTGTTTTCCATCAACCAATCCAAAAAAAAACTTCGTAAAAGTTCCCTATTTACCTCATAGTAGTTCCAAAGTGAAATTGAGGAGTTGAACCTTTTGAGATATATATATTTCTCCTCATCAAGATTCAAATCATGAATAACTATAGAGTTAGTGTTACTATCAGTTAGCGTTGCTATCAGTTGTTTAGGCGTGATTCATGGATTTGCGCTGCTATTTAGTGGCATACATCACACAAACTTAGTCTCTATGTCTTTTAATACTTTTTTAAACAACGGATAATAATCTGGTAGGGTAACTGATAAATGTCGCATTTCATAGTTTGCATCACAGACTAATCGTAATGAGACGAGAGAAAAACTACGTACACTGAACCACTGTTTCGTTCTAACGTGGAACTCCCCAGTAGTGTGCAAACATCATCACTGAGAGGATCAAAACAGGGTTTGAATACGCTTTGCTCAGAAGTCTCATACTAGGTGTTTTCCAGTTTGCAATGATGTAAATAGCGAACTGTATTAATCTCTTATACTTGAATAATTATTTGTGTGAATGATGTTTTTTAAAAAAATACATTTTATTGTTTAAATATGTGTCTGTTTCTTCCAGGTACCATGAGTCAAAATCTGGTTAAAAAAAATAGAGCGATCACACAATGTATGTTTAAAATAAAGATAATTGTTTGCACTAAACTCATGGTTGATTTTAGATTTGAATTGTAAAAGTAAACAACAACAAGAAGAAACCTTCAAATTATTTATCAAAGGTATAATCAGATAATACAAATAAATGCAAATCTTATTGTCTCATCATTCACACACATTCATCATTACACTGATTTGTTTCAGCTATTTCGATTTTTCACAAATCAATTGGGATCATAAGTCATTCTACGTATTTATTTCACTTACTTTCTAAAAGTTACACAAAACAATCAAATGAGAGTTATAGTGATAACATTCCTGATCTGTATCAAAAAACAACGAACATTTCAGATCATTTCAACAAAACGTGTTCAAACAAATTAGAATGTACACCATGTTTCAAACCATCCACATTCAGAAGAAAATCTCTTGAGACTCCTCAGCTGGATGTACCTGCATGTCAGAGTTAATATTCACTCTGGGACTCGAACCCAGTACCTTTCGCTTCAAACGCCATCATGTGACCTACTCAGCTACTGAGTCTTGATAGCCATGGGGTGAATTCATGTATTTAATTTAGAAACATTTCACCGACATAAACCAATAGTTAGATTCGACTGTCTATACAAGAGCTCAATGATTATTGGAAAACGAAAACACAATTATTGCATAATCTTTAAACACAACTAAAATTAGATTTCGTTATTCCTATTGCTAAATGTCATTTAACTTTGTTTAAACATGTGTCATAGAAATAAAAAATCCGTTCATCTTCATTTAAATCTTTTAGAAATGAATAAACAGTTTAAAAATAACAATCTAACATCATGTATGATTTCCTTTTCTTTTATTAAAATAATTGTTCTTATAATATTGAATGTAGATTCAATATCAATGATTTTTATGATGTTTGTAAACTATTTGAATAGAGTTAGTAGATTTGCTATTTGATTGTTATAATAATCTGTTGAGATGGTGGAGAAGATTTGTAGCTCAAGTGGATGATTTTGATGGAGTTTTGTTCCCTGAGCTCAGAGAACAAAACTGTATCAAAATAATAATCTGTTCCCTATTTTATTTTGAATTTTGTCTAACTTTCTTGTGTTTCATCTAAACAACAGTTACTGATTATTCAACTGTGAAGGACTGTTTCATAAAAGAAGAAGAGATTTTTGAAAGTCAGTGAATATATTCTTAAATGTGTAGCTACATAAATAATATATACATATGTCATTTAATAAATACATGGAACTTGATTCTCCTGCCTTACACATAAGCAACTTTTCACTTAATTACAAACCGGAATAGTCTATAAGGCTTACAGATTATCATTACTCATTCGTTAGTTGAATCAGTCAGTCACAACGTAGAACTTCGTACATACGAACGTACATCAGTTCGAGTTGCCATACCACATTAACACAGAGATGTAGTTGTCAATTCAGATCCCATAGTGGTAGAAGTAGTAAGAGTTTAGGCAGTAATGTGAAGGATTAGAGTTTGAAGCTGTTATTGAAGGAGTATAACCCAGTGAAATAAATTTGAGAAGATAAAAAAGAAAGGGACATGAAGAATTCAGATTAAAATTTGGGAGAACACAAAGAGTGGATGCACCTTCGCCATTGCAAACGATTTGGAGCCATGTCATTCAAGGTCCCTAACCATGGATTGATATCATTTCTCGGATCCCAACCTGGTAGTCTACACCTTCCAACATGGCTCAGTCCACTTGTCAGTGATTTCATGGATTTGTGTCACGTTTTGATCTGGCCATCCATAGCTTTCTTCCAACCTACTCCTTCACCATGAAACATTGCACATCGGTGGTTCGGCATACGTAACACGTGTCCCAGCCATCTCAACTGATGAAGTTTCACCACTTCACCAATCGATTTACCATCCTTACCTAGTACCCGTTTCCCAACGACTGCATTACTTACTCGTTAGTCCAAGGATATACGAGCAATGCGTCAAAGACACCTATGATCGAATACAAGCAGCCTACGAATATCCTCTATTTTTATCTACCATGTTCCACAACCATGAAGTAGGACGGAACGAACTGCTAGTTAGTAGACGGATATCGCACCTACACCATAAACAACGCAAGATGGCAAGCCGAGCCTTCTGTATCCGTGCTGAGAATTCGTCACACACCAGACGTTTCACTGTAGATAAATTGGCAATAAATGAATTATAGATAAGCAATTCTATACCCATAACTAAAAGACAATTAGTATTCACTGTTTCTTGATTGCTTGAAAGCGTTCCTTTCAACACAAACGTATGGTGAATAATATTTGCACAATTCAACAGATGATTTCAAAGATTATTTATATGGATATTCTGTCACAAAAATGTCTGGAAAACACAAAAATTCGCAAAACAAACAACATAAAGTCGATTTAATTCAGATGGCGTTAGATTTTGAAGATTTTCAAACAAAACACTTATTTCATATACGCGATACAATTGTTTGGAAGACCAGTAACCTAATCATTCAGATTAATTATAAAACGTCAGCAAAATTCGTTACCTTCATACTTAGAATTTCATTGTTGTTGCTAGTTTTCTCAATACAACAACAACAGCTAAGAATGATTATTACATTTTACGTCATTACATTACTAACAAATGTTTAAGTTTGTATGATAAAACACAGCATTTATACAGTTCACATTATAATTGTTATTTGATTGGCTGTCATGTCAAACCCAATTGGGAAGATAGGCAAAGTGAATAGATTTGAGGAAGGCTGAACGAACCAAACCTTCGACCGTTCATATAGTAGACCAATATATGATAATCAATTCACTGCTTTATTCTGATCACCAATATAACCTGAACTTGGTGACATTAATCGATAAATATGTAAAATACTGACTTGCTATTAAAAAAAGATTACAAAATATATCCTTCTCCGTCACATATTCTTCTGTTCGCTGTCATCTGGATCATCAAATTATGAAAGATTCGTCTTTTTCTTCTAAACAGATGACATTCATATTTCATTTGGTGAAGTATTTTACAGCCAAAATAACGTTTATCGATCAATGATGAATTCCTAGGGAAATAGGTTTGTATATTTAATCAGACTTCTATTCACTTCAAATATTGATTGATTTCAGTAACAAAATCATGTGAAATTATTCGTTTGAATTTTATTTACAGGAAAGAAGTCTTCTGAAAATAATGAAGATTGCACACTATCTGAGACATTCCCTGAAGAAGGTAAATTGAAATAAGTGATCTTCATCATGATGCATTTAAACAACTATGTGTTCACATAAGTTGAAACTATTTATTTGTGTCTAGTATCATCAGAAAATATACATCTACTTTCTCGGAATTTTAAAGAACGTTCATTCATTAAGTGTTTATCCATCAGTATAGGGTTCTGGAGATTGTTGAACTTCATTGAAATGCCGAAATGATCAAAGTCAGATGACTATTTAAAACTCAAAGCACCAACGGCCGTCTTGTCTTAGGGTGAAACTTCAGAAATTCGTGTCCACATTCACAAGAGAGGGAATCGAATGCAAGACCTTCGTGGACTGATTAAAATTGGACATATTCACTGTTAGATAGGAACTCCATCGTTTACAGGTTGAGCGTTTGCATGAGAGACCGTAGTTCCTGGGTTAGATTCGCTCCAGAGAAGTCAACGATGCGCTCTGTTTAGAAGTCTAATACTAAGACGAAATGGTCATACAGTGCTTCCAGGTTTTCAATAGTTGTCTAACTTCGGTCAGTTTACGATTTTAGTGAAATGATTATCTATCTGCTACCTTGTAAAATAAAATGATATATTACCAACTACACACAATTTCAATGGCCTGTTATACAAAATTAATTTCTGAATATTCTCGCTACTCATATCCTAATACTTAACTTTCATACTAAAAAGTTTTGAGAAAGCACTCAACATTTATTAACAGACATGAAAGTAGCCGTTGGTCTCCAAAGGGTATCGCTGATGACTATTACTAAAATTATTGATTTGGATACTTCATTTTATACCAAACTGAAAAGGTATATAAAATTAAGATGATTTCGTCAGTATATTTTTAAAATTTATATAAAACCTTTCTAATTCTCTATCTAGACATTAAGGCTTTGGATCAATTAATTTCTAAGAAATACGATATTTTGTGGAGATGGAATAAAGCATTATGTAAGTACCAGTCACACAACATTGTTTATCTTTTATAAAGAAACTATTGAGAAGACAATTTAAAATGTTCCGAATGCTTAGATTCAGACACATATAAACAGTTCGTCAAGTATTCATATCATGTGCTCACTAGTAACTTGCTCCATGAGGTATTTCCTGGAATTCTAGTGAGAAGCAGTAACCAGTGGAGTTCAACAAGGTCTGTTGTGAGATATCAACTCACTAATGACATTGGTGAATGGTTGCTCAATTTCGTGGACTGGTTGAAGTTAGACATTAACACCGTTGGATACCAGCCGGCTCAGTGGTCTATCAGTTAAGTGCTCTGACGTGACACTGATAGGTCCTGGTTTCGAATCTCATGAGGCGGGATAGTGGATGCGCACTGATGAGCAGTCCCACAATAGGACGAGTTGGCCGTCCAGTGCTTCGAGGTTTCCCATAGTGGTCTAGCTTCAATTGACTCATGATCTCAACTATATAAAATTACTAAAATTCTCCACCAAACCCCTTCTTATAAGTATTCATATATTGTGAAGAAAGTCATTGAATTATGAGTTGAAAAACTTTAAGAGGAATTTATTTGACTTATTGAGAATACGTACACAGTCAATTGCTTGCAGTTAACTTCATTGTTTGCAGAATAATAGATCAACCATTAATATGTATTTCACTGTAAAAATTATGATTTGTGCTTTCTTTGACATTTCAGTTAACTACGAATTTGCTTCGAGAAATATCAAGAGCACAGTATATTTCTTACAAAAGGTAATTCAGATTTTAAAAACTAGCAGAAATTTTGCCATTTAGTGTTCATCTCATGCTGGTCATTACAATATGATGTCGTTCGAGAAAACTTGTTAACTGACTTGTTCTATTTAGACTTGTTTTATGAATACAACATATGAAACATATATCCATAGTTCTTAAAACAATTGGTCATGTCGACTTTAATAAAGTCACCATCAGATTGATAAATTTTGTCGATGATAATAGAGATGGATAGAATAACTTTGTATTCAACAACAGTAGGTATAGATTGTAATCAATCAATTAAATTCGTAGAATAACAAGAAATTTCTAATTCACTTTCAGATGTATAACTTTGGATAGAATGCTGTTTGAAAATATCCGTCACGAATATTAATCAACCTAGTTCAGTTGTATTTGTTCGAAGATGATGACATCCTGTATTGAGATTTAATTAATTGCTTTATTAATTAAATTCAAATAAAAACAAATTTTTTCTGAAATACATTGTTCTGTTCTTAAAAATTTTTTTTTCAAATAATCATCTAAGATTCCTAGACTTGTGAGATAACATTCTCCTAAAGTTACATACCAATCAGTTGTGATCATTGCGGAGTCTTGGATTAACCAACATTAGAGCGAGATGCTATACCACATTAGCATGACAATAAGAAACGATAATGAGACATACAGAATCTAAAGATACACAAACAGGTCTCTGGGAATACAAGATCTAGAGAACATCTGTGACCGATTCTGAATTATATCATTTAATGTCTTCGTAAGCGACCACAATTATCAAGCTTCTTTTAGTTGCGGTCAGCTTGACAACAGCCTACTTCTACACTAGTGAATATCACGTATCGAATTAGATGATGATTACACTGAAGTGACACAAGTCTGAAACACTTCATTCGTGAAGATCCAGTCTCATAAACCAAATTACTATATTTCTAAAAAGGTAAATAAATGAAATCAACATTGTTTACTCAGTGGTTCCACGATAAGTCAGAAATGCTTTGAAATGACTAATACTCACAAAACTACTGTCTATGCATATACTTCACCCTCATAGCCGATGTGTCACATACTGATAGTAATAGAGGTTGGATTTCTTAATATCATACTAGTCCTTTGATGGATAAACGGACATCTTGTCAAGTCGAAAAGTGACGCGATTCGTTATAAGCCAAGTTAATTTTCTGAATTGAGGTAGAAATTTTGTCCGACACCTATTCATCAGGGCTGATAGGCAAGACAAGCAAGGTGAAGTGGTTAGCCCACTCCACTACACAACTTACTCCTTTGGTTTAGAATGTGACAGAAACTAGTCCTGAAGCAACATTTCGCATATGAAAAAAGAGAAACACAACTAAAATGGGTTTTTGTTGTAACTGTAAGTGAGCCGGAAACTCTGTATTATATCACTGTTCAAATTCAATAGAATTTTGTAGTATGCGTCAACATCTGAAACAGTTTGAATATGCTTAATCATAAACAAACGTTTCGAAAATACTGATACATTAAGTACTACAGCAGGATAAGTTATAATAAAAAGGTCAGTTTTCATCACAGTTTTCTGATAGTCCGAATATGCGAAATGTTCGTGGTATGATTTGAGCATGTACTGTACTTGCTTTGATAAAACTAAGCTGTTCAATGATGACTGGTTGATACAGTCATTAAATAAGGACAAATGAATATCGGAAGGGAGATTCGTGGAGATTGTAGTAATTCTGAAAGGTGATTAAGTTCTTATACGATGGAATCAGCTTGAAGTTACATGGTGTAATATACTGAAGAGTATATGATACTATCTTGTTTATTCCTCTATTGTTGTTTCGTGCTACATAAATGCACATCAGTAGTAGTTATGATCATTCATGTACTATAAAACTTGTCTTGCTTGTTATCTTAAAGACCATCAACGTCGACTTTACTAAAGTATGCTAAGCGTTTGATTATCACTTTATTACTCTTAATCCGTTTGCTCCATTTTCAACTAATGTGCTGAGAAATAGAAGTAATTCTTTTAATTCTAAAAATTTCATTGTTTTTCCTCTGTAGGAAATGTTTCTGTCAAATAATTGTTAAGTTAAATTTATTCTGTGGTGTGCGCTACTGATGCCAACAGATATAAGTAGTATGTGTCATCAATATAAAGTGAAATGCCTGGAGACAGAAGGTTAAGAAAATCAAAGAGAAGAGAATGAGAACAGAGAATGATAAGTATGAAAACCAAGTAACAATGAAATCTGAGACAATTGATTGACGTTTTGTAAATGAATCATTAACTGTATAGTTCTCAGATTCGACTAGAATACTCGATTGTCTCCCCTTGTGTGTTCTCGTTCAATACAAAACTATGATCTAACTGACTACAATTATCTCTTCATATAGACTTTCTGAAAATTAGTTCATTCATAGATGTAACAACTTGAAAATAAAATCCTATTTAGTATCCAATGTTTGTTTTACTACGTTATATGTGCTGTAATTTCTTGTATCGATTTAATTCTTGCTGATTATTAATAGATTTGAGTTAATAGTCTTAAGTAAATTAACCAAATTAATTTCATTATTTACTCAAAGTAATACTCATGATTGGTCAATTCGCCAAGTAACCAAATATGATATTATGGTCAATATGTCACTATGTATATATATATATACATTATTATTGAACTACATTGAAACATAGGATTTTATTGATATGTTGCTCCATTTTCTGTTCCTATTTTCCGTTCTCCTGTTCCATTATGTAGATGGTAAGTCTTTGATCATGTCCATCATAAGACCGAAAATTGTTTATAGGGTAATACGTTAACATTATTTGTAACGGTTATGGGAATAATAAAGACATTTATTTCGTTGAGCTTTCACACTATTAATCTAACCAACATTACAAAACACCATTATATAATAGTAGATGTTGCATGTAGACTGATAGGTCCTGTGTTCGAATCTCGCTCGCGAGGCGGAATCGTGGATGCACACTCCCAGTGAGTAGTCCCACAATAGGACGAAATAGCCATCCACTACTTCCAGGTTTTCCATGGTGGTCTAGCTTCAATTGACTCATGATCTCAACTACATATAAATAGTATCGCATTTTGATCCACATGTGATTATTAATACATAAGATCCATAGATATTTTTCTATTCGAAATTTGTTTAAAATACTGATTAGATCTAGTGAAACGAATTTTGATATTGGATATAAGCTGAACAGTTATCATTTTACGATATGTAATTCTTTATTAACACAAACACAATAACATGTCAAGACTAGAGACGAGGACATTACATCTTGGGATAAGCAACTAAACTTAGAGCACTGAGTTACCATAATGTGTAAAACATTTGTAGTAACTTCAGTGAAATAGCGAAACGGTTCACTCAGAAACACTTGAGATACAAGTACATCTGAACAAAGAGTCTTGAATAAGATGAAACACACGTCTTAGATTACACTACTAATACTACAACTACTACTACTACCGTTTAAATTATGTTAAAATTTAACGACTCTCCCTAAATCTCTTCATAAGTTTTTGTAATCAATTTTGATTTCGTAAAACTCATTATCCATAATTGTTAACGGGTTGACACAAATACTCTGTGGAATGTTAGTTTTCAGATTATCAATTATTTCTGATATTTAACTGTTATACCGATTGCCTGGTAATATATAACGTGCTGATTCCCACCAATTAGAGAGGAGTGAATTATCGATTAGAGCAGTGACACACGAAAACGTGTACGAGCAGTCTTGAGTACTTATCAGTCCTGCTATCTGCCTAGCCCAACCAGTTAAGTCCAGAACACCGATCTCAGCCTCTGCAATATGAATCATTATTCCCAAACATACTGGGTTTATATACCAGACAAACTGACCATATCGTACCATAAAATAGATAATAACACGTGTACAAGATTTAGTCAAATATGACTGTGAATAAGGGTGACAGTAATCAATAGACTGGGGATAACTCAAGAATGGTAAATCGTATCATGATAGTCTATGGGTCAAAATGAAGCTTATAATAAGAGGGAAATGAATATGGATACTTTAGTTACTTAGGAAACATACATATCATATTAGTTCAGAAATAGTCCTCAAAAGTTATCATTTACAATTCTCTTCGGGTTATAACATTAACTTTAATTCAATACTATTATATGATACAACCTAAAGTACCTGTTATACTCTTACATAATGATACAGAGTTAACGTATTATTTATATTTCCGTAGGTCTTGTCTTTCTACCGTTCAATATTTCACTTCTCTTTTTTACTTCATTATCAAAAATTTGTTTTGAATGATATTGACCGTATGTTTTCATTGCTGATCACATCAATGTTAATTAAAGCTGCAGAGAGTAAGTTTGTATGGAAATGTTTAAAATTAATTGTTGCTTTCATAATCTATGATGACTTTCTTTAAGCACATTTTCTATAGAGATAATTCATTTTTTTGTTTGAATAAATACTACATAGATCTACTAAATTCATCGATTTGTGATTCACATAAACACAGTATGGTATTTCCTGAGGTATTTCGTTGAGTTCTAGTGAGAAGCAGTAACCAGTGGAGTTCAACAAGATCTGTTGTGAGATATCAACTCACTAATGACATTGGTGAATGGTTGCTCAATTTCGTGGATTGGTTGAAGTTAGACATTAACACCGTTGGATACCAGCTGGCTCAGTGGTCTATCGGTTAAGTGCTCTGACGCGACACTGGTACGTAATGGGTTCGAATCTCATGAGGTGGGATAGTGGATGCACACTGCTGAGGAGTCTCACAACAGGACGAAACTGCTTTCCAGTGCTTTCAGGTTTTCGATGGTGGTTTAGCTTCAATTGACTCATGATCTCAACTATATAAAATTACTAAGATCTCCACAAAACCACTTCAGATACAGTACAGAAGAGCTGGTTAGTCAGGGTGCTTAGATATGAACAGGAGCAAGCATACTTGAAAATCAGAATATAATATTGCATAGATAAGAATTTAGACCACAGATTATTACAGATTAAGTAGGAATTTGGAAGAAAGTGATGAAACAAGAGAAATGACGATGCATTCATAGTGTTGTAAAAGTAGTATAGTGAAATTGTAACCATGTTTACAAGTAGAAGCAATTTTGAAAATAGCGGGAACATGGATGAGCACTGTCGAGAAGTCCTATACTAGGACGAAACGGTCATGCAATACTTCTAGGTTTTTAATGGTAGTCTAACCTAAATCGACTCATGAATCCAACTATTAAAATAACCATTAATTGTCTATGTTTGATTGATGTGTCAAAAATGTAAAATAACAGTGGTCTTCTAATTGTAATGAAACTGTAATACGAGTTGATTTTTTCGGCTCCATTTGGTTAGTTTATATTTTTCACAAAGAAATAGTGGAATATAAGACACTTTCTCACGTCCATTTTTACCTTCAATAACATCACATTCTTCAAAATACTGCACTGCTTATCGGAGCTCACCATTTATGATCTTAACATTTAAGCCTGGTCGATAGGATTCAATCTACATCAAGAAGGATTTGACACATATGACATGGTAATGTCTCTGACTGTGAAGCTGAGTGACACAGTATCGAATCCGTCAGAGACCAGTTCCCTCAAGATTACATGCACAACTTCCTGACGATTGCTAATTAGCACGAAACCTAGGTCCAAGATTTTCTGTTGACTACCTCCAACCACCATCTTATCTTCACATAGTGCATGTACCATCGAGTCACCTAGACCAATAGTCACATTTCAACTTGGTCGATAGGATTCGATCTGTACTAGGAAGGATTTGACACACATGACACTGATCAGCACACATTGATCAATCAAATGTAAATAACATTTAAACCACTATACATCAAAATAAATGTGTTAATTAAATATGTTTATTCGATTACTCAGCGGTCTTCGATCTTGTGTAAGTACATGTTTATTACAGAAATCCATTTAACTTTCGTTTGTCACAATACAAATGATGTTTATTGAAGTCCATTAATATTTTCGTTTGCCTAACATAATCTATAGGAAACCGATCACAGTAAATTTTGAAGTCAAATTTGTTGTCTGACTTCACATGAGCAATCCTTAACATCATCAAAAAATGAATCCACAAATTAAAAAGTCATAACTAGTAACATTGATAATTATTATGAGACATCTGAAATGATTTGCATTTTACTTAGTATTGTTTGTTTGGATGTTCCCATTGATGTTTTTAGGACTGCAACTGGTCAGTCTCTAATTGGCATATGTGCATACTGTGCGTATTGCCTCGATATAGCCTAAATTCACAAGCATGGTAAGCAAAGATGGATAGTGGCTAGCAGTGGAATCGAGGACGCGCGTTTCGTCCTATTTGGGACTCGTCAGCTGGACGTACCTGCATCTTAAAGTTGATGTTCACTCTGTGACTCGATCTCAGTACCTTTCGCTTCGAACACCATCGCGTTATCCACTCGGCTATCAGAACTCATTGGCCAAGTGGATAACGCGATGGTGTTCGAAGCGAAAGGTACTGAGTTCGAGTCACAGAGTGAACATCAACTCTGATATGCAGGTACGTCCAGTTGACGAGTCCCAAATAGGACGAAACGCGCGTCAAACTGCATTCCACTGCTAGCCACTATCCATCTTTGATTTGGATTTTAGTTCACGTTTACTACCTATGCGCTGAATTTAAATTGTAAAATTTCATATCAGATAATTTCAGTCTGAAATCTCTTCAAGAAGTTGATTCTTCTAACCCACTCATTTTACAGAACGTTGATTGTGCAATTTTGGTGAGTTTAAAAAAGTCACAATATTCATGGAAAGAATGCATTGTTCAACAAAAATTGTTATTCATCTACTACTACTACTACTACTACTACTACTGTATTAACAATTAACCGAAATTATGTTTATTCATTACATAGAAGATCTGTGACAAAGCTTTGTAATTCGTGCGATTGTTTGGGTCTTTTTAGTCTAGAGGTTTATGAAAACTATTGACTGTTGTTGATACCATCAACTGACGTTTACTTAAGAAAAATAGTACTTTGTTGTTTAACTTGGGTCGAGGTTTCGATATTATTAGTATTTCAGATGTGTAGAATAGTTTTCTGAATAGATTACTTTGTCTAGTTTGATTCTGATTTCCGAATTATCATCGCAGGTTTTCTGAGATGTTCAAAATTTTAGCACTAGTAGTTTGGTATTTCTATGAATAGTAAAAGACCTTACGTTTATGCATGAGGAGAGTTTCATGAGGTAAGACAGAATAAAGCAGTGCAGTGATTTAAGTTGGCACCATAAATGTATACTACGTATTGATTAACCTACATCCCCTTACAACAACTAGATATTCTTATTTTTGAGCATGTCTTTTACAAATGATTCTCGATTTTCCAATTCTAAAGAATCATTTACTCTGTACGCAACATACAGTTTCGCTAAATAATATTAGACAAATTCAATGAATCGTTATTTAAAAAATCTTCCACCAATGCACGTGTATCAGATAAAGAGGTAAGACGGATATGATCACATTGTTATTTAGTAGTATTGATGGGTTGTTTTTATACAATCACTTTACAGGAAAGATTTCTGCAAAGGTTTGGGTGGAACGATGAAGTGTTTTTTGGACGTCATGCCTACAAAGATTGGTGGTCAAAATAAATCATGTCTATAGCAGAGTATATCGAAATATTTTAAATTGTGGTGTAAGCTTCCAGTGAAATGGCCAAATGATTGATAAACTTATTGACATATATTAAACATCACTTACATACTAATACGTACCGAAGTTAGGTAACCATGGGAGTTGTAATTTTCAAAACGCAAGTAAAAAAATTATTATATTTGTCTTTTAATTTATTTTCTATCTGACTCCATGGGGAACGTTTGACAACGATGTCAATCAAGTGTAGATCATTATAACTTTGTATTTGTTCTGTAGACTTAACACGTTTGAAACAGTAGTATATCAAGAGTTAAATATGAATTGTATTTAGGATAAATATGATTCAAAGATGCTGATAGTGAACAGCAGACGTATCAAAAGATTTAGGGATTATATTAAACATTGGTTATTGATAACACATCAACTCAGGGAATCATGGAGTGATTTAATTTTTATAGGTCATGTAAGATATACTGGAAGTAGATAGATACATACAAATTGCCATAAACAAATGTATAAAACATTACCAAGATTACAAGTGACTAGTTGACAAGGTCAAACGTTCGAATAGCAGAAAAATATTAGTGTGTAGACAATTATAAGTATTATTATTGAGATCTTAGAGAAGGCTTGTATCTCAGGTAGATGATTTCGGTGGAGTTCCGTTCTCTAAACTGGATGGTTTGATTGTATAGCTATCACCGTTCTATTGAATAACGTCATGTAGAAGTGAAACACCCGTATTTCTGGACATCTAATTAGCAACTTGTTTTGCAAACAACTCCGTCTGTAGACCCTCCGTGGGCTACTGCCGGTCCCAAGCCTGGATAAAGGAGAAGGGTTGGGCTGAAAAAGCACTAACCAGCAAATATTATTCAAACCATTTAAACTCTGCCCTGGGAGTCAGAAGGTCTTCATTTTGAAGAGTTATGACGCTTCATAATGAAAGCCAAGTTTCTCCGGAAGCCACGAGGCTGATGCCCTTCTGACAGCCAGAGCAATTATTTATCTAGGCGCATGGGATGTTCGTACAGTGTGGGAGAGCCAAGGAGAGTCTTCCAAGTTGCTGCAAAAATGATTAAATACAACCTGGAAATGCTTGGAATCTGTGGAACACATTGGACGCAGGTTGGACAACAACGACTATTTTCAGGAGAGCTTCTGTTATACTCCGGTCATGAAGAAGAAAATGCTCCACATACACAAGGAGGTGCATTGATGCTGTCCAAACAAGCACAAAATGCACTTCTTGGATGGGAATCTCATGGACCAAGCATCATCAAAGCCTCCTTCAAAACAAAGAAAAAGGCGTCACAATGAACGTCATCCAATGCTATGCACCTACCAACGACTACAACAACAAGTTCTAGGCCTTTCATGAGCTACTCAATAGAGAGGGAACTACTTTGGAGAGCATCTGGAAAGGGATAAAAGGGGAAGTCACTTCAACATGTCAAGAGGTTGTGGTCAACAGATATCACCACCACAAGGAATGGATCACTGTTGGTAGACTGGATATGATTCAAGAAAGGAGGAACAAGAACACAACAATCAATAGCAGCCGAACAAGAGCAGAAAAAGCCAAAGCACAAGCCGAATACACTGAAATGAACAAGCAAGGAAAGAGGAGCATCAGAACCGTCAAACGTAAATATGTGGAGGATTTAGCAATGACGTCGGAAAAGGCCGTAAGAGAAGAAAATATGAGACAATTGTACGAAAAGCAAGGAAGGCGAAGTAGTCACAAACATTGACGAACAACAAAACAGGTGGGTAGAACACTTCAAACAACTCTTGAGTCGACCAGCTCCACTGAACCCACCCAACATCGAAGCAGCACCCACGAACCTCGCAATGGATGTTTGCCCACCAACAATTGAACAGATCAGCATGGCCATCAGACAAATCAAGAGTGGCAAAGCAGCAAGACTGGACAACATTCCAGCAGTGAAAGCAGATGTGGCGGTAGTTGCAGAGATACTCCACATTCTCTTCGGCAAGATTCGGAATGAAGAACAAGTACCAAAAGACTGGAAAGAAGGATACCTGATCAAAATACAAAAGACGATTTCAGCAAGTGTGATAACTACAGGGGCATCACTCTTCTCTCAATACCAGGAAAAGTCCTCAACAGCGTATTGTTAAACAGAATGAGAGACTCCGTAGACGCCTAACTTCGAGATCAACAGACTGGATTCCGTAAGGATCGATCGTGTACAGACCAAATTGCAATTCTACAGATCATTGTGGAAGAATAAATTGAATTGAATTCATCACTCCACATCAACTTCATTGACTACGAGAATGCATTTGATAGCGTAGACAGGACAACACTATGGAGGCTTCTTCGACACTGGCGTTCCTAAGATAGTCAATATCATACGGAATTCCTATGATGGATTAAACTGCAAAATCGTTCATGGAGGACAGCTTACAGACTCGTTCGAAGTAAAGATCGGTGTCAGGCAAGGTTGCTTACTCTCGCCCTTTCTCCTGGTGATTGACTGGATTATGAAGACGTCAACATCTGGAGGGAAGCATGGGATACAGTGGACAGGTAAGATGTAGCTGGACGATTTACACTTCGCAGATGATCTGGCTCTTCTATCAAACAAGCGACAACAAAAGCAAGAGAAGATGACCAGTATAGCAGCAGCCTCAGCAACAGCAGGTCTCAATATAAACAAAGGGATAACTAAGATTGGGGGTAACAGGCGTAAGTAAGTATTTGGTGAGAACATAGAACTGTAAACAACTGTCAACCAATACCAAGGAATGTCTAAACTGTTATACTGTGCGGCGGTGAAACTCGGAGAACTACCACAACCATAATCAAAAATGTACAAGAACTTATAAACATTTGTCTACCCCAGATACTCACTGTCCATTGGTCGGATACCATCAGCAACAGTCTATCGTGGGGAAACACAAATCAGCTTACAGCTCAAGATGAAATTAGGTAAAGTCAATGAAAGTGGATAGGACGTACATTACGGAAATCACCAAACGGAATCACGAAACAAGCGCTAACTGGGAATACTAAAGGGGAACAGGAAAGACGAAGGTCAGAGAATACACTGCGACGACTATTGGAAGCAGACATGTAAAGGATTGCCCAGGACAGGTCGCGATAGATAATACTGGTGGGCGGCCTATGCTCCTCCACGAGGGTCAACAGGAGTAAGTCTGCTTAATAATCACTCTAGCATTTGAGTGTATTTCTAAATATCTAGTACCAGCTTCCATCGTGATACCGCTATGATCATTCGAAGTGTTCATAATATGTAATGTAATTCCTAGATCTAACCAGCTCGTGTTCTAATAATCAACTGTGAACCTGAAATGAAAACAGAGAATAGGGCAAACTAAAAGAAATGTTACTTATTGAAACTGTGCGGTTAAGTATGTAAACAACAATTATCAAACTGTACAAGTACCACTGATGTGAGAATGTTCAAGTATCCGAAGAGATGTAATCATTGATACAGCGTACGAACAACTGAACTGACTTTTTCACAAACAGACTGTAGCGAAGTAGTTCAGTCTCAAAAATTTATTTGTCAAGTGATTTCTATACAAAGCGGATTAAGAATAAAATAATTTCGCTTCTCATAAATTAAAAATGTTTTAAGTATGTGATTCCTGTACTGGATTACGCCGATTGATATAAAAGACAGCCTCATTATCACTTTGAAAATGAATAGATTTATTTCCATAGACAACGACCATGCCAAAAATGTTTACACATCTACTGAAGGAGGACATGCGAAATAATCTGTGGAAGTGATTGATATTCAAGAAGCTACATTTGACATAACTAATTAGGGGTTTGTTTTTTTGACACAATTTCAGATATTTGTGTTCTACTACACTTACATTACACATATATAACGTGATCAATCAATCTACTACAATCATAGCTGAATCTGACTTCCATTTTTCTTCATCTCCATTAATTTCATTTACTTCCTGGACTAATACTGTTTTACAATCGAATATGATTGACAACGCCAGATCAAACTGTCGTAGCTGCCAAAATAGTTAGTTGAAAATCAATACGCCTGGAAATGATATGAAAGAAGAAAGACAATTGCATACGTTACCCATGCATGTGTAAACAGAACGCAGGGTAGCAACTACAAACTCAGTAAAAAATGATAACTTTATTCGTACAATGAAGATTATATAAAGTAAAAACAATAAAAAAATAAATATTATACAAAAGGTACTTCTGATAAGCATATAAAGAGGAAAAGTTATTGAACTAAATGAGAAACTAAAGGTTTTTTATTCTCTTATAATGATTGTGTGGATAATGAGTATTTTTTGTATTTTAACATTATATCTAATGGCTGGATAACGAAGACTTCCAAAAACCAGTCAGTAAATAGTGAAGATACCTGAAGTCAAACAAGAAAACATTAGTTAGTTGTTGACAATGAAACATCATAATATACATAACACATTATAAAATTAAAGGATATAATGAACCCTAGACAAAGTGAAATATATGTTATACAGTAAACAAAATTGATTGATCACGGGGTGATGATCAATGTGATGCGTATCAAGTCCTTCTTAGTGTAGATCGAATGCTATCGATCAAGTTTCAATGTGGCCACTAGTCTAAGTGGCTTGTTACTGCGTGCACTATGTTGAGATAAGATGGTGGTTGAAGGTGGTCAACAGGAAACCCTGGACCCGGGTTTCGTGCTACTTGGCACTCTTCAGCAAGGTGTACCCGTAATCTTGAGAGAACTGGTGCTCCCTGACGGATTCGATCCAGTGTCACAATAAAAAATAAAACAACTATAAAGAGATTTGACCACTAAATTGTTCAAAATCATAAATTAATAAGAGTGTAACAGTAAGTGATGACAAGTAAAAACCATTAGGCTTAAAAATGTTACAGTTATATTTACTAGTAAGAACAGATATAAGGAAACATTGATTAAATTTAATTCCTTGAAAAAGCTTGAACCAGATTACCAGGCGAAACGTTGGATTTACTTCAAATTTATTCGCTGAGATTTTACAAAATATATTATTCCCATTTAATGTATTACACCAACTCGGCGCTCAAATACTGTGAAACCGTTCGCTCCAATTTAGACGAAAGTTCTTATATATTGATTAGATTGTTACATTCGTCTTTTATCCTAAATTAACTATCTATTATGTGATGTATAACTCCATAACAGTAATACATCAATAGATAAATAGAATTTCTTAATATGGTCAGCCATTTGGTCTCCTTAAGTCTATTTGATTTTGATGAGATTTTTGTGTAATTTTTCAGTTCACTGTTGTATAAAATAACAATTCCTCACATTGAAAATAAAATCCTTAAAAATAAGCAACTTAACAAATAGTCTAACGATACCAACACTTTTCATGTTAAAAACAATAAAGTGATTTTTCGAAATTTTATCAGCAAGACATCCGAGAACTTTCCATATATCATATAACTATTTGTTCAATTAGTGTTCCAGTCAAAGCTGGGCTTCTTAGCATTCATATTAATGATTTTGAAATACTTTAGGTAGCACTAACATGTCGAATAACAAAACTGATGCTACGGAGAATTATTTTGCATTTAAAATTTGAAACAAATTAGTTTGACAAGAAATAACTAACAGTGTACCAGCGAAAATAATGAAATACCGATGTAGCATTATCATACAACACATTTTAAAATGACCGTTTACACACATAAGTTAATATTTGTACACAAATATTAAATAAATCTTCATCTTTAAACAGTTAACGATCAATAAGTTGGATAATAAGCTGAAAAATATAGAAATAATTTATTTTGAATTACCTTCGCATGTAAGATTCCTTCAGTCGACATCTTTCAATAGATTATATATTCCTACTAGACACATAGAAATTCTACTCCTAAAAAGAATTGGTTTTTAAAATAAATCATCACGGAAAATATTTAGGATCAACAAAAATATAGAACACATATAATATATCACCTCCACCTGCAGCTTCTCCAGAGCTAATGCCGATCCCAAGACTGCACAAAGGGGGATGGTTGAGCGTGCATTTGGCAACCCTATCCATAGAAAACAAACTTGCTTGAAAAAACGCTAATCAAACTAAACAAATTAAACTTTGGCCTCCAAGTTGGAGGAAGAATTATGACGCCTCATGATGAAAGCCGAGATTCTTCGGAAGTCACAAGGCCAATGACCCTTCTAACAACTGGAGAAACACCTTTTGTAGGTACATGGAATGTCCGGACAATGTGGGAGACCGGGAAGATCAGTCAAATAGCAACGGAAATTAGGAAATACAAACTGGCGTTTCTCACAATCAGCGAAACCCATTGGACACAAGCTGAACAGCAAAGGCTAGATACGGGAAAGATGCTGCTGTACTCCAGTCACGAAGAGGAAAGTGCTCCACACACTCAGGGAGTTGCTCTAACGCTATCCAGAGAAGCCCGGAATGCACTTGTAGGATGGGTATCTCATGGATTCAGAATCATCAAAGCATCATTTAAAACAAAGGAGGAGGGGATCACAATAAATGTTATCCGATGTTATGCACCTACCAATGATAGCAACGACGACATTAAAAATCAGTTCTATGAGAGGCTGCAATCGGTCATAGAGATGTGTTCAGGAAAGCACCTGACCAGTTTGATGGGAGATCTAAACGCCAAAGTCGGAATGGACAACAACGGTAATGAAGATATCACGGAACAACACGGACTAGGAGAAAGGAACGAAAATGGGGAGAGAGAGATTTGCAAATCTATGTGCATTCAACAAATCGGTTATAGGCAGCACATTACTCCCACACAAAGCTGCATGGATCTCACCGGACTACATCACGGAGGACCAGATGGACCATATTTTACCAATAAAAAATTCAGAAAGACAATCGAAGACGTGGAAACCAGGAAAGGAGCTGACATAGCTTCAGACCACTATCTGGTAGTTCACAAGATGAAACTGAAACTAAAGAAACACTGGAGAAACAGCTCTATATAACTTTGATATAGTCTTTCTTCGAGATACTGACAAACTCAACGATTTCAAGATAACTCTGAACAACAAGTCCCAAGCCTTACAGGACCTACTCAAAGAAGAAGAAACTACCATATAGGACAACTAGAAAGGGATCAAAGAAGCACTAACTTCAAAGCGTTAGGAGGTACTGGGCCGCAACAAGCATCATCATAGGGAACGGATCTCTATCAAAACCCTGCAAAAGATTCAGGGAAGGAAGAACAAGAGGACAGCACTTATCAAAAGCCAAACAAGAACAGAGAAAGTCAAGGCACAAGCTGAATACACAGAAGCAAACACGCAAGTGAAGAAGAGCATTAAAGCAGACGAGCAGAAATACGTGGGAGACCTATCAAAGACAGCGGATAAAACTGCAAGAGAAGGAAACATGAAGACAGATGAAAAGCTGGAGAAGTGTTTAATTGGTAAGAATCGAAACGTACAGGAAATCACGGGTATTTATAGATATTAGCATTTGTTAAATCAACATTGTGATTAGGCCAATCCGCAAAGAGACATATTATGCTATTGTCCAATAGTAGCATGCTACGTTGATATTCTGGAAAGCTCTATCATGTTCTTATTGGATGGAAACTGTTCGGCTACTTTAGAGACTCTGGAGGCTTCGCTGTAGTTCTCGGAACAGCTTCCGAAAACTCAACAGAAATATAGTAAACCAGAGAGAACAGTCAAGGACAAACAAGGCAAGTCAATCACTAAAGTCCAAGTATAAAGGAACAGATGAGAAAAACACTTCGAGGAACTTTCGAATAGACCAGCTCCATTGAATTGACCGGATATCAAAACAGCACACACAAACCTTCCTATAGATGTCACTCCATCAACGATCGAAGAAATCAAGATGGCCATCAGACAAATCAAGAATGGGGAAGCGGCGGGATTAGACAATACATCAAGCCGATGTACTGAAGTCAGACATTGAAGTAACTGCAAACATGCACATGTTCTATTCAGGAATATTTGGTAGGAGAAACAAGTTCCGACAGATTGGAGAGAAGGACAGCTCATTAAGATACCAAAGAAAGGAGATATGAGCAAATGTGAGAACTACAGAGGCACCACATTATTGTCGGCACCAGGAAGGGTTCTCAACAGAGTGTTGCTGAACCGGGTGAAAGACTCAGTAGACACCCAACTTCGAGATCAACAGGCTGGATCCCGAAAGGATCGGTCATGCACAGACCAAATCGCCAAACTACGGACTATTGTTAAACAATCATTTGAGTGGAATTCATCACTATACATCAACTTCCTTGACTATGAAAAGACATTTGACAGTGTGGATAGGCGAATCTTATATAACCTTCATCGACACCATGATGTAATTGAAGGGATCGTCAGTATCATCCGAATTCATACGACGGACTACAGTTGAAAGTAGTGCAGTAAAGACCGAAGTCAGACAAGGTTTCCTACTCTTCCCTTTGCTATTTCTTCTAGTGGTTGACTGACTGGATTATGAAGACTTCCACAAAGCGGGAAGCACGTGAAGCAGCTTGATTCTACCCAAGATATTGAAAATCGGTTACAGTATGTTTCAAGCGGAAGGTCTACGGAATTCAAAGAAAACTTCTCTTGCAGTCAGCAGATATATTATGAACAATTTTGCATGAACAAGGGTTATTTAACAGTGAAAAAGCGACAACAATTATATAAAATAATAAAAACAATCCTGTGTATATTAAGGTAATTTCATTAAACAATAAAAATTGCAAGTTGAAATTTAACACAATAAGATGATAGATGAATAAACAAATTGACTAATGTGCAAACAGTTAAGAATAATTAGTTTTGACTTCAAAATAAAAAGACAAGGATCTGAAACTCAAAAGGACACTAAAAATAATTCTTCGTTAGACATTCACAACTGTGAATTCAAGGAGAGAGAAAATAGTGTTAATATAATGCATAAAACACGATATTGGACCATAGAAATAGTGAATAGTCTTATATGCTACTCACTCACTCTGATGCAGTTTAATAGTGGACATACTTCATTACTCAATACATATACAAATATCTTTTTAAAAATCTAAATTTAAATGGTTTGGATTGTCTAGTTGTTGATAGTTTAACGTAAATTTGATCAGTCTTCGATGGCATATGTGCATCCTGAATGGATTTCCTTGATATAACCATTATAAAACAAGTTTATCTAGAATAACGCGTTGATGTTTGAAGTAAACAGTACTATGTTCTAGTAACGGAGTAGATATCAAACCTGGGATCCAGGTACATCTAGCTGACGAGTCCCGCATAGGACGAAACGAGCATTCTAGATTCCACTGCTAACTACTTCTTATCTATTTTATATAAATCTCTTACAAAGCTAGAATAATAAATCGTATTTGATTTTTTTTCAATCATACCTTCGTGAACCATTTTAATATGTTTATTCAGCCTACTTCTTGTTAAATATTTTCTATCGCATTGTTCACAAGCAAACCTCACTCCTAAAAAAAATGATTTTATTGAAAAAGGGAAAAATAGAATCATTAAAATCAGTGGAATAATAGAGCATTTCATTTCTATTCCCAGTCCAAGCCCATAATGACTCTGTGACAGATATCTCAAAAATATGGTAAACATACACTGGAACATTTATGTAGACAGTCAACATCAGTGACTATGGATCTAAGATGAAATATATAAGAATTAGAGTTAGTAGGATGTCAAATGTGTTTATTACTACTAAATCAAATCTTGTTGCATTTTCATTTAACGTCTTTTCACAACGATCGCCAACCGATGTTCTTATTTGTACATGTTGAATGAGTAAAATTGAGTAATACACTTTGATAACATTTCACAAAAACAAACATTTATTCATTCAAGAAGATAATCTAAACAGAAATGAAATAATTTATGGGACTTTAAACTTTACATAATGTGCTCGAATTAATGGTGTCGATCACTAAATTGAATATGTGACCCAATAAATGAATTCTGAATGCTTTATGCAATAAAAGATAGTCTCATAGTTCTTCAAGACAAAAGGTTCAACGGACCAATACTGAATAAAGGCATAAATTAACTTATGATATGATGAAAGTGTAATCCAGCATATAATTATATGGTGAAAGATGATTATCATCATCAAAACTCACCTGTATGAACACTTCTCAGGTGTTCTTTTAAGTTGGATTTAGATGAAAATTTTCTATTACATTGTTCGCATCGATACTCTGTTCCTAATGAAAAGATAATCGTTAATATTAGCGAATCTACTTATACAAATTTAATATCAATATTGAAAGCTATGTTGATATAGTCAACCAGTCATATGTGGCCAAACGTGAAGATCACACGAAGGACAAGTGCAAATCACTGGCTAACAAATCGATTGATTTTCTAAGGGTTAGATGCATATATAAAAATGAGTATTCATGCATATTATTCGGTAGCCCAGTATACTTTCTCGGCCACTCCCGTGTTCGCGCTCAAGTAGTCAGGTGGGGAGCTAGAGAGTAGGATGTAGTGTATCAGTATCAGATTTCGGACACTGTCCATCATAACTTATAATATTGGTTTACAAACTACACATATGTGATTAAAATAAATATGGTTAACTTATAAGTGGAACGGTATTGACAAATGAAAAACCTTATATTTAACAGACTTTAGATTTTACTCAATGTATGAAAAATAAAGACACTCCGATTGATTGACAGTTCAGTACTTTAACAAACCAGTAAAAGTAACAATGAAATAGCTTGGATTCCACAATTTCTGATCCAAACTCTACAATCTGAAAATAAAGTCGTACTATCTCCAATTAGTAAAAACCTGAAAAAAAAGTCAACTTTTAGGATGTCATATCAGAAATTCAGTGAATTCAAGTTATTGTATGAGGTAGTTTCTTAACTTTTCCGTAAGAAATAATAACCAGAAAATTTGAATCATATCAAAATTGAAACACTTCATGAATGATTATCGTGCAATATTACAAATGGACTGAAATTGGTTCTTACATTCAGTGTTTAACAGATACCGCGATATTCGTTTTCCTAAGCTATTCTGGTAACCCACAGGCTAGAACTACTGAGCGACATGAACACTAGAGAGAAAGTGCAAGTATGAGAGAAAATACTTCACTCCAAGGTTCGTTCTTGTACAGAAAATCATGGGTATTTATAGATGTTAGCGTCTGTTAAATGAACATCATATTTCAGCCAATCCGTTAACGACATATTATGCAACCGACCAATAGTAGCACGTCACGTCGGAATTCTAAAATGTTCCATCATACTCTCATTGGCTATGGCTCTTCGGCTCCTTTTGGGCCTCTGGAGGCTCCGTTGAAGTTCTCCGGAAGCCGACTCAACAGATAAAAGTCCCGTATCTTATTATAATGCAAATTCTTTGACACGATAAGTATAATACATAGAAATGTGAATAACAAAAAAAATGTTTTGAAATCCTGTGTTTTATACCATAGAACACCATTTCATTACTTATTAATTAGTAAAATCGATGAAAGTAGTCAAACGTTTAAGTAGAAAGAAAATTTGAAAACGATTTAAATGCAAAATAAGACCATAACTTACCTTCATGAATAACTTTTATGTGTCCAATTAAATCATATTTTGTTGTAAACTTTCTATCACAACGATTACATGCATATCTCATTCCTGATAAAGAAAAAAAATTAAGACTAGTATTCAACGTATTTGTATAAATGATATGCTTAACGTTATTACGAGTACACCTTACTCAGTAAACGGAACGAAGGTCAAAGACACAGTGACACAATAGGCTATTCTAATCCGTTGTCAACGGCTCCGCTAAATAAATCAAGAAGACTTGATGAGACGTAGAGAGTGTATTCTACAAGCGCCCAGAAAATACGAGGTCACTAAGCACACAAATCAAGCTTATATTTACACAATGCTAGAAACGCCCTTGGGAGAGTGACGAAACAGCTTACTAAAAAATCCATCAACCAATGACAGTCAAGGATTTCCGAGGGGGAAATGTAAGCTGTAGGTCAACCAAGCGTCTCTTGGCGCGAAAACATGAAATTCAAATTTTCAGAATAAAATTACGAAATTAGGACCTTTTCCAAGTGAGTTCTGGGGACCTAACGTCCCCTACAATACGTTCAATATGAATATTATTTTAGGTTATATATTAGTGGATTAAATTTTTTTAAGAAAAATATCTGAATGAAATGGAAAACTAGAACCACTCAGGTAGACCCTAAGGTCAATTAATATTACATGAGCGATGAAGACAATCATAATGAAGTAGTTTGACAAGACAACAAAAGCTTCAACACCTATTTTACGAGTCAAAAAGAAAAACAAGAGAAAGTGACCAGTATTGGTCACTTTCATTCACTATATTACATCTGTTTAACCATACAAAAATGTTAAGCATTAACAATAGGAGAATATGATTGAAAACCCCAAGATCCAAAACGTATAAAAATTATGTTGTTGTTGGGATGATCAAAGTTTTTCTTTAAAAACGTTCAGAGGGGCGATAAAAAAAACACAGGAAAAAATATTTTATGCAGTCAGAGTTGAACTGAAGTTACTTGAAAACATCTAGAAAGTCACGGATCACCTGTTACATTTCTGACTGAATGATTACCTATCTTGTTACCTGTTTAGTACGGTTCCAGGACATTCTAGAAAAGCTTAGGAAACTGATCCAATCGTTCACTTAGAAGACTTATCAATTGCCAAGGATGATTTATGTACTATCTAACCATTCGTTGGCATACCTACTTTTCATTCAGACACTGATAAAATTCATCTTTTACAGTGTGCTTTGGCACATTATTCAATTAAATGAAATGGTTTTATCATGTAGTTGCTTCCAAAAGAAAATTGTTTCCAGTATTCTCAATTACTTAATGAAATCTTCGAATAGGACCAACATTAACCCATGTGTACACAAGGTGAGCACGAAAAAAATAACATAAAAACTAACCTTCATGAATATTCTTGTGATGTCTATCTAAATTTCCTTTAAAAGCAAACTCTTTGTTACATACATTACAGATGAATTTTATACCTAGTGAAAGAAATAATAAGAATTTATAAAACACGAGCACAAAAATTTCGATAAATGATTATAGCTTGTCAATATATAAAAAATATGCTAGATATACACAGCATATATCACGCAATTCTTCTACAATGAAGCTGCTGAGAAACTAGCACAGCAATCAGCATTCAACAGTCCCTGATACCGACCGAGCAACTTAGAAATGTCCACAGATTAAATGCAACATATATAGACATGCATAACTTTCATAAATCCGTATTGATCTCAGTTGTCGCAATTAATAAAATTAAAAACACCAACAATTAATCACTTAATAGTTCATGAAAATAATATGTCATAAATAGAACAATTAAACCCTCCACAAATTGAACATTTAACCGAAATCAGAAAACGCCCTGATTCAATGTTTAGTCAAAGAAGGGTTTGACAAATGACGTTTTACTAGCAAAAACAACTAATATTCCACGATTTGTCAGCACTTGTGGTGTTTGAATTAAACCACGGGTAAATATAACAAGAAAATTGTATAATATCGTTTACACTATGAAACCCAGAAGTCCGGTATCCTATAATAACATAAGTTACTCAACATGTTTCACCATGGTACATTAATTGTGGGTAAGAAAAATGATTCGAAATTGGAGTGTTTTATACATAGAAATCGCTACTTTATAGTTAACAAAGACTCAAAATTGTATAAAGCGTTTGGATTTTTATAAAGATAAACATAAAATTTAATTATCAGTATAAGGGCGTGGAAACTATTGAATTTTTATTGAGATGATGAACCGATCAATTTCAGACCACCATTGAAAACCTGAAAGCACAGGATGGCCGTTTCGTCCCAGCGTGGGACTTCTCAGCAGTGCACATCCACGATTCCACACGCGGGACCCGAACCCAGGACCTCCGGGCTCGCACGAGCGCTTAACCTTTAAGACCACTGAGCTGGGATTCAACGGTGTTAATGTCTAAGTTCAACCAATCTACAATATTGCGTAATCTACCAAAGACAACGGAAGCTGGTCGCGCAATATTGTGGATTGAATGAAGTTAGACATTAACACAGTTGAATCCCTGCTCAATGCGTGTGAAATTTAATGTTGATTTACATGTAAAATAATTTGATTCAATGTGAATGTATACAGTAAATCAATTTCATAGTAGTGCAAATCATTATGCGCCACCAAAACTTACCTTGATGAATAACTTTTACATGTATATTTAAATTGCATTTAGATGAAAAATTTTTATCACATTGATAACATGGATATTTTTTTCCTAATAATAATCAGAAGAAAAAGAAATAACTATTTAACATTAGTAAACGTTTCTAAAAGCGAATTCAATATGATAATCTAAAGTTATTTAATAATGGCAAACAACAATACAAATGTAATTTTGATAAGTCTGGTAGATGGAAACTCATTTCGATTTCCTAACCGCTTCTAATAACTCTAAACTAAATCTAAAAGGCAAATCGACAAGATAAAAGGTGCAAAGTAAGAATAGAACGCTTTCCTCTAAGGTTAGTTTATGTACTGAAAAACTATGGTAATTATAAAGATACACAAAACCTTTGGCGCTTCTGCAAGTCTTTGAAACCATGTTGTATGTAGTAGCATTAAAAGTGAATATCCAAGCAGAAACGTGACTCGTTACTTTTTAGATATTTCTGAGAAGCTTTAATTCAACTCCGATCGGACAGTGTTTACAATAGCTTTCTAGACCTCTACAGACTTTTCCAAGGAATACTTGTGAACCGCCAACAAGTTTAAATAAGCACGTCAATTTTACAACAGAAAAACTATGGGTGAACATACAACTTTCTGTATAGTAGACTTGGAGTTAAACTTATTATGTAGAGAGCAGACCCGAATAAGGCATAATGTACGCAGATTGGGAAATAAAGACCGCTAAGAAAAACTATGAGCGAGTAGAGAAGAAAGCATTAGCTAATGCATTCGTAATAAAAATGTTTCATAAGATATTATATGATTGAATCAAGAGCTGTAAAACACATATTCTGAATGGTAAACTCCAGAAAACACTGACAACTATCTAAATATCGACATATCTTCCGGTTTGGTTAGTGATAGAAAAATCTGTTCTGAAGTTTGGTTTTGTCCCAAACACCATTAAATATGACAATCATCGCCATCAGCAAGCAACTTGAATCACATACTCACTAATAACCACTGAATTTTGGCGACGATAAACAATAGGAAACTTATTACAACTCATCAACGAAACAATAATTAAAAACCAAGTTGTTACCGAAACTATTTCGGAAACAAATAGATAAATTGTTTATTCTATCGAAATTAAACCAGTGGGTAGGATACTTTGAGAGAACGTTCAACTGGTATCCAGACACCTACTACATTCTAAGCAACTTGAACATAAAATTGACTCAACCTAGACAACTGAAAATCAATCTTAATAGGTTGGTAGTACTTTTATTAGAGGTAGACATTGTACGTCCGACGATGAAATCGAGCCGATAGACACAAAGCTTATCTGAGGCAACAGAAACAATATTATTTCAAACCAGGGGCGCGAATCAGCACTAGAATCTTCGAACAATCAATGGTGCATGAACATAATTAAGTCACTCGTTCTCACGATAGACGAAGTTATAACGCTGCTTTACTGCCTTACAGGGTTATTCAGCCTCAACTCTATGAGGTCACAGTATATAACCATACGTAAGACTGCTTTTACCGACACGTCGTAAACAACATTCTTTTACAGCCAGACCAACACCACGACGATGCTAAAGATGGGCCATATTGATATTCACCACTCCGGCTTTCACTACGTGTAGGTTTATCTCCTTTACCACGGCACCAATAGTACTCACATAAATACACAGATAGAAAAACCTATTCACTACTTCCAATGCTTCACCACAAAAAGAGAGGCCACGCACAACCTCCAATTAGTCTTCAAAAATATTTTAAATTCAGAAGGTATAAAGTATATGTCACACCTAAATACACTGATTACCAACCGAATAAGTGAAATTTACTTTGGCTTTTTATAATTACTGTTATGTCCCGATAAGAATTATGAATGTTAACTTTTGAGAACTGTTTATGGACCAATATGATACATATATTTTTATTGTATAATTGTTAATTAACTAAACTATTCATATTCGCGTCCGTCTTATTATAGGCTTTATTTTGACCCATGAACTATTATTATATGATTTACCCAGTCTATTAATTACTGTTCCCCACATTCACAGCCACTTGGGGCTCAATCTTGTCAAATGCTATTTTCTATTTTATTGGTACGATGTGGTCTCTCTGTTTGGTATATAAACCCAATATGTTTGAAATATATGATTCATACAGCGAAGGCTGAGATATGTGTTTTGGACTTAACAGGCTGGGCTAGACAGGAAGAAAGACCGATAGGTACTCTAGACTGCTCGTACGGGTTTCGTGTGTCATTGATCCGAACGATAATTCACTACTCTCTAATTCGTGGCATTATCACGTTATACATTAACAGGCCATCCACGCCACAATTTATAACAATTACACAGTAAGATAATGGTCATCCGCATGCTCAAGATCGGGAATAGATCATCACCTACTATTTTAAGAGCCATTTTCAGAATATCACCGATGTCAGTCAGTAACAAAGTAGAACTTCGTACGTACGTACATCAGTTCAAGTTGTCGATTCAAATCCCATGGTGGTAGAGGTAGTAAAAGTATAGGCAGTAATCGGAAAGGATAGGGTTTGAAGATGTTATTCGAGTATAATTCATTACATTACATCACGCCTGTTACCCCTCGTTGAGGAGCATAGGAAACCAACCAGCATTCTCCATTCAACCCTGTCATGGACAATCCTTTCTAGTTCTTTTCATGGGGTTAGTGACCCCATCCTGTATAAAACTAACTCACTAAAAAAGGCTAACCAGGAGTACAATCCAGTGAAATAAATTTGGAAAGAGAAAAAGATAAAGACATGAAGAATTTAGAAGATTAGAATTTGGTAGAACACAAAGAGTGGATGCACCTTCGCCATTGCAAACGATTTTGAGGCATGTCATTCAAGGTCTCTAACCATCGGTTACTATCATCTCGCGGATCCCAACCTGGTAGTCTACACCTACCAACATGGCTCAGTCCACTTGTCAGTGACTTCATGGATTTGTGCCACGTTTTGGTTTGGCCGCCCCTAGCTTTCTTCTAACCTACTCCCACACCCACCATAAAACACTGCACGTCGGGGCAGTCGGGGTTGAGCACACGTAACACATGTCTCAGCCATCTCAACTGATGAAGTTTCACTACTTCATCAATCGATTTGCCATCCTTAACTAGTACCCGTTTTCTAACAACTGCATTACTTACTCGGTGGTCCCAGGATATACGAGCAATGCTTCAAAGACACCTATGATCGAATACTAGTAGCCTACGAATATCTTCTACTCTTGCCGACCAGGTTCCACTGCCATAAAGTAAAAAGGAACGAATTGCTGTGCAGTAAACCCACCATTTGATTGGTGGACGGGTATCTCGCCTACGCCATAAATGACGCAAGTTGGCGAAAGCTAGACGAGCCTTCCGTATCCCTGCTGAGATTTCGTCACACACCAGACGTCAAGGGCTGACGAGACTCCCAAAATGAGTGAGGCGGTCGACACGCTCAACTACTTCACTCCGTATCATTAGTTCAGGTGCCGATGCAACCCAATCCTGAAGAAACATTTTGCACTTCGAGGGAGAGAATCGCATCTCGAACATACCTGCATAGTTGCTTATAGTGGTCAGAAGACTCTGCATTTTGTCAGCATCTTCACCAAATAAAACTATGTCGTCGGCGTATTCTAAGTCAACAAGGGAATCTCCTGGTAGAAGTTCAACTCCAGAAGATTTAGATGAATGTGTTATCTTTGAAAGCATTTCAACGACAGAATAACAAGAATGGAGATAAAGAACAGCCCTCACGAACACCAATTGAGGTATCCAATCCTAATGATATATTGCCATAAGCTGTCACTCGGCCAGTTCGAGTAGAGAGCCTGAGAAAAAGTAATTTACTTATTAGTACTCCTTTCGGTAACAAACACTGCCATAGAACCTCACCATCAACAAAGTCAACAGCCGCCTTAGAGTCGAGAAATAATACGATTGTGGAGCGTCTGAATGTGTGTCTATGTTCTAGGACTTGATGTAGTGTGGATATTTGGTCTATACAACCACGTTCAGGTCGGAAACCAGCCTGATTTTCTCTAGTCTGCTCTTCACGAGCTTTACTTAGGCGTCCAAGTATTGTTGAAGCTAATATTTTAGACACTATATTAGTCAAACCGACTCATCTTTGATTGTCACAAAAGAACTTTTGTCCTATCTTATAGACTGGAACAATCAGTGATTAAGACCAGTCAGATGAAATTACGTCCAGTTCCCAGATTCTACTCAAGAACTCAGTCAATCACACTGCCAGTATGGGACCGTCATTCTTAAAAATCTCAGGGGTAAACCTGCCAGGACCTGCTGCTGTTGACAGCCAGATGGGATGAGTTATCGAGCATCTATCAGTGTGGTCAATGCTGCTGAAATCCATTATTTCTCCCTAACCTTATGGTTTGTCTTACTGGCAGATATCACTGCTGTTCTCACAGCTTCTCGGATATCATTCCGAGCTGCCTCAGAGTGGGCATCACATATATGCCTGCCTCACTTTTTTCTACTTGTGCCTGAAATATTCTTAGCTTGATTATCATTAAGTAGAACTCTAAGAGGTCTCCTTGAAGTAACTTTCCTACGTCCAGTAAGACGCAGACAAATATGCGCACGCACTCGAGCATGATCTGAATCAAATTATATGCTTCAGAACGAGCGGGTCTTCTACCGAGCACCTCCATCAGTGGCTGATACCGGTGTGATCTAGTTGGGTCCAACGTTGGGACGAATTCGGGGATCGTCATGTCAAAAGATGTTTTCCTTGTGCTTAAAGTTAGTATTTACTACAAACAGACGGTTATCGGAGCATAGCTGCAACAGACGGTCGCCATTATCTGTTCTTCCATCCACGACACCATAAGATACACCCAGGTGTCTTTTCTTTTCTCTTAGTTTACCTACTTCAGCATTTAAAACATCTGCCACTATTACTACATCAGAGCGCCTCTCTCTGAAACTCAACTTTTACTTCATCTGAGCTACAGTCAGTGATAGAGTAGGCAGAAACGACCAAGAAGCAACGATGAGTGTCCCTATATTTCCAAGTCCTTACTGTCCCGTTTAGCCGGACAGCGCACAGACGACTGTCTACTGGGATCCAGTCTAAGAGAGCTAGTTCTGTTATAGGACTTAATGCTATACCTACACCTGCCCCCAAATGCCCTGGTACGACCGAGAGGGGAGAGAGTCTACTCTCCCTCTCGAAATGCTCTCACATGGCCAGCGAATATATAGCTTCTGCCAGAGAAGTCCTACTCACTGCCTTCTCGTACCACGGGTGTTGTTTACGAAAGTGAGAGGACAAAAAGCGAATGTTCGGCGCTTTAACCGGGTTGGTGGACACGGAGGGTTCACCTAGGGGAGTTGGAAAACCCTCATGCCAAACCAATGGTGCAAATGGGCTCCAGTATCCTGATAAAACGAATGGCGGACGAACCTGTTGTTGGTCAACGGCTACCATGGGACTGCATCTCCTCACGATGCTCCACTGCCTTGTGGATCAGACATTCAGGTCAAAGGCTCGGGGTGTGGCCCCCTAAGAAAACCACCTGCTTCGGTTTGGGCACCCGGGCAGTACCACAGCCCACACACAAATAAATGAAACGATGAATTCTATTGACGATACTATCCCTTCTCATACTATAAGCAAGACAATTTACATTATTATTATTATTATTATTATTATTACCTTTATTATTATTATTACTAATATTTACCATATCGCTAACTCACCCCCTTTTATCCCCAATTTATGTAACCTTACTTTTCAACTTATACAGCAGCTCGCCCATGGTGGAAAATCTGTCCTATCTAAACGATCTCCAGTCACTGTCTAGTTGAAAGTAAATGCTTCCACCGATTATGAATACTGATGCAGTCTTTCTGAAACCACGTACGCCGTTCAAGCTGGCTTCCTTCAACGTTCGCACACTAATGCATATCAGACAACAGATAGGGCTGGCTATGTCTTTGGAAGGTCTTAATGTTGATGTTTGTTGTCTATCCGAGATCCGTATTCAATACTCTAGTGAAGTACTACAAATTCGCTCTCCATCTGTCGCCTCGAAAAGCTTGTTAAACGTGCGCTCATCCGGGGACCCTGTGGCATATTCGTCTGGTCTTGCTGGCGTTGGTGTCGCACTAAGCGCTAGAGCTGAGGCAGCACTAATCGATTGGATCCCCATTAACAGTCGGTTATGTGTTGTTAGATTAGAAAGTTCCATCAAAGTGAGAAGAAACCGGCGTGAGAAACGGTGTCTTTTCGTCATCTCCGCCTATGCCCCGACAGATTGCAGCCCGGATGCAATCAAGGGTGAGTTCTACCACCAGTTAACAGTTCTTCTCCAGAAAGCGCGTTCGAAAGATATTGTAGTACTAGCCGGAGACTTGAATGCACATGTCGGGCGTCTAGGCACAGAAGAGAGTCGTTTAGGTGGCCGATGGGGACTTTTTGGTCACAGGACAGATAACGGGGACCGTCTACTGCAACTTTGTGCAGACCACAATCTGTTTCTGGCTAGCTACTGGCTAACTACTGGGACAGTCATCGCCGATGTGCTACCTGGCATCCTCCTTCTGCATCCCAAGCCTGGACTCAGATTGATCACATCGCGATCAGCTACCGCTGGCGTGGTTGTGTACAAGACTGCCGCCAATCTCACCTTACTTCTCAGTGGCCGAAGGATTGACCACCACCAACGGATTGATGTTAGTAAACTGGCTGCAACTTCTGTTGAAAGTAAGTATCGAGCGGAGCTAGCCTCTAGGCTAGCTACCACCCCACCGAAAAGTGTAGATGAGCATTGGTTGCTTCTTCACGACGCCATGAAAATGGCGAGTATTATTAATCAATAATTCCTTGAAAAAAGCTTGGACCAGATTGCCAGGCGAAACGTTGGATTTAATTTAAAAAATTCATTCGCTGAGATTTTACAAATATATTATTCCTATTTAATGTCTTACTTCAACTCGGCGCTCAAATACTGTGAAACTATTCGTTCTAATTTAGACGAGAGTTCTTATATACTAATCATATTCGTTTCCTCTTATCACTAACTTTATTTTGACCTTTGAACTATTATTATACGATCCTTGAGTTGTCATCAGTTTATTGATTACTATTGACAGCCACATTCGGCTAAATATTGTACAAATGTTATTATCTATTTTATGGGTCGATATGGCTTGTTTGGTTGGTATATAAATTAAGTATGTTTGAAATACAATGATTTAAACCACTGAGACTGTTATTGGTGTTTTGGACTTAACTGGTTGGGCTAGGCAGATCGCAGGATCGGTTAGCACTGTAGACTGCTCGTACGGTTTCGTGTGTCACTGTCCCAGTCGATAATTCACTGCTCCCTGTTTGGCGGTCTTATCAAGTCATACATTAGCAAGGCATCCACTCTACTACAAGATATAAGAAACGTACAGGAACATATTATTATAGTTTATGATTATAGTTTTCAAATTGCTAAATGACAAATTTGCACCTGATATGCCCTCATTTTTCTTGTCTTCCAAAACAGAAAATCTACGAGGACACTCCAAAAAAGTTCACAAGCCCAGAACGAATTACTTGTCAGCTGACTACCGACTTTCCCATCGAATAATCAACGAGTGGAATTCATTACCTCAGCACGTGGTTGAGGCTCCATCCGTCGACTACTTCAAAAGAAAGTTGGATCAGCTGAGAGACCATCATTGCCAGGACTAACACAGGCCATCAAGCCTTCTGTCCTTTTCAAACTGAAACTGAAACTGATATGCTCCATCCAATATGGCTCGGTTGGGCCATCACAATAGGCAAGCCCGAACACCACGTCAAGGTAACCACTGCAGTCGGGAATATCATCGATGGCAATGTTATAGAAGAATGGTGAGATTTGGAAACCCTGTCTAAGGTCTCAAAATTTTATTAAAAGTTTGCGTAATGTTGAAAATGGATTAATTGTAAAATAAGCACTGAATGTGACATGATAAAAATGTATACAGTATACAACTCAGTAAGATATCATTATCATCGGTATAACTCACCCTCATGGATCACCTTCATATGTTCAATCAAATAAAATTTAGATGCAAACTCTGCACTACACTGATCACACGCATATTTCAATTCTGACAAGAAATAAACGACACTATTATGAATGAATTAATAACTAAGGTGACGTAAGTGCTAGATATTTATAAGTGTTAGTTTTCTCTTTGTTAAAATTAAGTACTTCATTTGATAAATTTTCAATTGTCATATATGCATTCGGAACGAATTCTTTCGATAATTTCTTACGTTACAAGTATTTAATCAAGTTAAATGATAGATAAAAGTGGAATCTAGGTAGTGGACTTCGTCCTATGTGGAACTCGCCAGTTGGTTGTGCTTAAATTTCATTGTTAATGTTCACACCTAAACTTGAAAACAGTAACTTTCGCCCCAAACAATGACGACTTATTCACTGAGCTACAAAGTCCAGATATCCACGAACTAATTCAATGATCATGAAGTTACAAATCAATAAGGATTTCAGTTTTATCATTATAGGCACTTCTTTGTTTAAAAACTTTATGATTGCATTCTAAGCGAACAAAAAGACCTTAAAAACCGACACACCTAAAATCACGAACACTCACATGATATTTTTAACAACTAGTAACATCAATATTACAAATACAAAGATAATTCAAAAACCGTTTTCCAACTATAAACAAAAGTCATTAGCTGAACCATTTTGCATATTGCCAAACACAACTGAGATCAGTAGAAAAGAAGCGTCAATCATCCATGCAACTTGAACTATCCATCTAAAGAACTCCATTTTACTTGTTGAAATCTTACACCATTGAACACGAATACATCAAACTAAACAATCCATAATACAAATACAACATATCTCACGACCACTCACGCAAGAATGCATTCAAATATATCTTAATTAGGGTCATCTTTCCCCTGAATGATGTAAAGTCAGTAGACACATCACTGTTAGTGTTAAATGTTTAATTTGTTTCACTGCACTAGTTAAACCTCAGCTGATTTGATTCGGTCATCAACTGAATGACGAAGCAACCAACACTAAGTCGCGAAGCGTCAAACATTTAGTTTTATACTCCATGAGATATTATAAACATATTAGGTTTGTCAAGTGACAGCAGTAACCAATCAATGGCCAGTGAGCTCAGACAAATAACAAGTAGACGTAACAAAAGACCGTTCCACTTCTAAAATTGATCCACTTAAGACGTTTAATTGGATTTCAAGCAATGACTTTTGTAATTTGGGTTAATGAATAATTTCTCTGGCCTATAATTTGGCTCTCAATCGTTTAGTCGGATAGTATGTATTCTACATACCACGTCATCTAAAAAAATGATTTAATCACTCAGTGTATCCATCCAGTACACAGTATGTTATCCAGTCTAGTGTTCATATATTATATTATTATTATATTACATTATATATATAATCACCATTATAACTTACTTTCGTGAATAGATTTCACGTGTTTATTTAAATGAGATTTAGTTTTAAACGTTTTATAACATTGAACACATGAATATTTTATTCCTAATAAAAAAAAACAATTATCATTATTATTATTGGTAAATGTGCTTATATAAATTTAATATAGCTCTAATGCACCCTGCATTGGGTAATCAACAAAATAAATCACTTACGACGTATCACCGTACTTATCCTAATTCACATAATAACATTAGTTTTGATCCCTGGTTCAAACAATATGAAAACTTATTTTGTGATCGATTAGCTAAACAAGTTGATACATAAAAATAACAAAATTGAAGCACGAACTTCGTATCTGTGATCATGTAGTGATCAAACCTTATATCAGCATAGCATCTGTGTAATTGTAATTTTAAAGAAACTGGTACAGACACACATACGACCTGAATAATAACAACTAAAAATAAGAACTATAAGCAGATAGAAAATAAAGCACTAAATAGTATGTTTATAATCAAAACGTTTCATAAAAGTGTGTGGTCTATATTTTTGTATTTTTGGAAGTCACAAAGTCCGAATTAGCCATTTCTGGCTCCAAAAAACGAATTTCTCGACATTCAGTAAGCTAGTTACAAAAGTACACTACCTGTCTGATGGATTACGACATACATAGGATTTCCTTCAATCGTAGTATTTGTCACTTTTTTAAAGTACGCATTCGAAACTACCTGACAAGCGTGTTGCGAGCTATACTAATCAAGACTGCATATAGCAAAAGCGAGTGATGACATGACAAGAAGTTATAAAATACATAAACCATAAATAGCCAACAAAACCACACAACAGTAAATTACATAATCTTTATCAACAAAAACACAGTTTGTCCGTTACTGATTCACAGCTAATGTTTCCTAATCGAAGGATGGTTCATCAAGGTGATAGCATAACGATAAGTAAACTGATCAGAATAGACCGAAAGATCGTGAATTAAGTCAGACATTGCAGCCAGTCTCATTGAGCTGGAAAGCATACTACAAAACTGACTACACAACCAAGGACACAACCACAGATGCTGTGGTCATGTGTTCACACCGACTTTGAGAGTCAACTTAACAACATTAGGTCATTTATACCAGTTGATGCAACTTCAAGATAGCTTGTAGCCATCATCATGACTCATGCAATAATGTCTTCCCATAGTTAGGGAAGGGAGAAGAGAAATTGCATGATGCACCAAACCATCAAAACCGGATTATAGATCTCTCTTAATCTGAAGATGAATGTTAAGTCGGTTACTGCTATGTCTGCGAAATTAATTAATATCACTTGTTGGGTTCGCCGAACTTCAATCTTAATCCTTTTCCACTCTGAGTATGTTATTCCGACAGCCTAGCACCCCCGGTCTTAGTCAATGATAAGTTCAGACCGACGCAATTAATCGTGAGCTAACATAATCTTCGCCCTGAGTGCTTTCCCGACATATATGCCGTCTTCTATTCCCAGCCTTGGGTCAGAAATAGAAAACCCCGACCAAGCTTCTACTGTTATCTTACTTCAACCATCCAACCCAGATTCTATCCACAGCACTCATTAGCTCACATACATGAGATACTAGGTATCATACCATGAGACAGAAAATTATATATGCACACAAACAGGTCCAAAATGGCAGTGAAACGGGTGATGCTTTAAGTAACTGGTCTGTGACAAATCGGAAATAATAAGACGTTTAGTAATAGTTAAGGACTCGAACGGAAGATTACAATAAACAGAATACGGAAATATGGTAGTTTAGTTATTCACTAATTATACAAATAAAAGTATAAACAAAAATGGTCTGAAATATCGTTCCAAAGATTCTAACTTCTCCAATACTTGTTTCGTTAAAGCAATCGAAATTTAGCAAACAACGTTAAGAAAAATCTTTACAATTCAACCAGTAAAAGTTCTGATGAAATTATATTCAAGAGACAATAACGGATTGAGAAATGTATTGTTTCTTAATATTTCTATCACTCAAAAAATGATTTTTTTTATTAGTAGACAGTTCGGATTTCTAAACTGTGCGAGTACCATCGAATCAGGCTCCAAAAAACAAGTGTCCCAATTAGAGGATTCTCAAAGACAATCTTAAACATGTACAAACTCTCGCCCACTCAGTTAATCATTAAGAAAAGGTTTATTTTGAGAAAGCTTGATATGATATTAAAACAATAGAAAATACGCCAGCGATCTTCACTAGCGACTTGAATCACAAGATGACAAAAATACCGGTGGATTTCGGTAGCATCTACATAATTGATAGATACTCGAGAAAGCATCTTAGCAGAGAAAGTTGAAAAACAAAGACGACTCTAAAGTAGACTGAAAAAATTGTACGCAGCGAATGCAAGCAATTCTAGGTGATGAAAGTAAAAGAGATAGAAAATGCAGTGGAGATAAGCGACATAACACATTTAAAAAATAGTAATTGAAGTGCCAGTTGTAAGATTACATTAGATATCAATAGAGTTGCAACAAACCTAGATGACACAAACGTAATGGAAAGGTCGGGCATTGACTTGAGAGAACGGATTTATTGACGTCTAAAAAATGCAGAACATCGGATACTGTTACACCTAGAAAAGTGCCAACTTCTCTTACATTCAAACAAGTAATTTCTGTTCGATTAACAGGGACACTGCCTCGATAGCGGAAACATTTAAACCATTCAAAAATTGGATTCCACATCACTGTAAGCATTCCTTGGAATGATAATTCACCACAAAGTTTTTGTTTTTGCAACTGACGAATACGCTCCATTAAATCAGTAATTAAAATAGAGTACTCAGTGACATTAGTCACTAGAATGTGAACAACTGAAATGATAACCATTTAAAGATTACGATATAAACCGTGAAACTAATGAAGCCTAAACGTACTGGATTCAATCTTATATGAACCTATGTGAATGAACAGTAAAGAACACCTAAACTCTAAACAAACAATGATCTACTACGCTTTACGGTTCTCAGTGATCAACCAATTGATATCAGCCTCGGATAGAGACCTAATACAATCGAACAGGACGATCTCCACAAATCCCGTATCCATATACAACATATTTAGTCTGAATTGACACATCTGGCACAGTACAGGGAAATATAATTGAACATAAATGTAAAAATGATTTCAGTAGAAAAAAAATGCTCATTTAACAATCATTCGATGAAAATGTATACGGTATACAGTTTCAAGGTTAAATATCATTACTATCGACACAACTCACGATTATGAAAAACATGAATATGTTGAAGTAAGTTGGATTTACAAGCAAAATTTCTATTACATTGACCACATTGATAATTTATTCCTAATAAAAAAATATAATTATTATAGTTAGTAAATTTACTTACATAAATTCAACATCAATATGTAGGATCATGTAAGAAAGGTTTACAGTACATTTTATTTAAATATGTCCATTCCACAAAAGAAAGAATACGAACGAATGAACAACCGCTAGTGTAGTAGACTTTTAATCATACTGATTGTATAAAAAGTGAAAACTCCCACGAAGATTGAAAGTTAAGTACGTCAGCAAGACAATTAGAGCCACATCCTCCAATTGACTCATACAAAAACGTTACGTCAAAGATTAATATTTTTTATACATTACAACATAACTGAGTGATAGCTCAACAGTGCATGCCCCCAAATGCCCTGGTATGGCCGAAGGTGAGAAGAGTTTGCTCTCCTCGAAATGCTCTCACATGGCCACGCGTATACAGCCACTGTCAGGAAAGTCCTGATAGTTGCATTTATTAAAATGATTCGGTAATTTGAGTGTTTCTCATTAAGTCACTAAAGCAAGTTTACTCACCATTCACTTGATGAATAAACTTAACAAACATGAAATAAGCGAGATGATTCTTAATTATTTGACATTTTATGAAGAAAGTATTCCGGGTAGCAATATAGTGAGAAAAAATTAAAAATGAAACGACCGTCCAGTGCTTCCAGGTCTTTAGTGGTGATCAAACATTGATCGGTTCGTGATTTCAATGAAATACAAAAAGTTACCGAACTAAAAGCAATTACAACCAATAAGAAAAAGGCAAAGGTAATACGAGAAACTGAATTAGAAGAAAAGTGCGAGCAGTTATCGTTTCTGAAGGGATTTCAGTATTACTGATAAAATCTGAGTATTATTGTGTTTGCCTTAGCAGCAAAATAATTCTATAATATATCCTTTGTCGATAAATAATCAACAAAATAAACATAGACAGACGAAACATTAATCTTCAGCATACACAGTAACGTGACAAGAAGTATTAGGTTTTGATTGAAAAGACAAAATCTGACTACGACAGGAAGAACCATAACTCCTTAACATTTAGTCAGTAACAACATTAAAACAAAAACAACAATTGATAATCAAAATTGATTCAAGACAAGAAACAAACAAATGAGGAAATGAAACACCACTCACCTTCATGAGCAGTCTTAATATGGAGATCACGAGTAGTTTTTATTGAAAAATCCTTGTTGCGTAAATCATGCGACAATTTGATTGCTACGAACGTCAAAATGATTTAGTAAATAAATTTTAAGAATGGGCGGATTAAAAGAACAGAACCTCCTACCGTCAACATTACTACCGAGATAAGTTATCAAAAAAAATTTCGATTTGTTGCAAAGGGCAATGGAACGCACCAACATCATACAGGTTGTTGTTAAAATTGAAGCTAGCACGAATCTGTGGACAGGTTTTGTAAGGAATTTGAAGTTTCTGAACGCTGGTTATACTGTAGGAAGTTACAATAGTAAATATTCTGGTTGATGAAGTAAATGTCAAAAGATGAACGGGTAAAGTGAACATTACATTTAGAACTTTCACAAAATAATTGACATGGTTTATTCCGAAAACGCTACCCGCCAAAACAACCGATATTTTGCAATTAAATCATCTTGTTTACAAAAGAATAAAACCTCAAAGAAAATCCATACAAGGAGTAGTTCAAGCCTATAGAATGGAGTATTTAATATAAATTATAATTCACATCAAAAGGTAGCAGGAAAATCTGGCAAGCCTTGGAGCATAGTTAGAACTCTATCGCACTAGTATATACACCTACAACGTTCGTTTACTGAATGAGAATCAAAATTAGGTATGCACTATCATTACCTCACATACATCAAACATAAACATTCATCATTGGTTACAACACCAGTATATGACTCTGTAATACCACACAATGAGCAAACAGAATAAAAATTAGGTTTGCACCTTTCATTTGTCACATCAAAATGGAAAAATATAAGCGAAAATACTTAATATACAACTCTATACCAAGTGAATACAGTGAGGATAGAGAAGTGGGAAAAAAACTTACAATTAAGTGAAAAGATCGCTGACTACTTACCTTTATGAACATATTTATTGTGTATGTTTAAAAATGTTTTAGAAGTGTAGCAACTATGACATACAGAACACTTGAAGAGTTTCCTTCCTGAAAGTATTAAATAATTCAGAATAAGCGTACAGTGATTCACTTTAATTATAGGAAAATAGTAACAACCGCGCACTTACAAGTGAGCAGTTATGAGAGATTGAGTTCTTGAAGTTCTAGTAAAAAACTGACGCGCAGAGTCAACCAAAAAATTGGATCATATTTACACTTGTAATCGTAGATCATTTGAAGCTGAAAATAAGGAGAAATTGACGCCAACTCAATGGTTTAAAAGTACTGTATTCACTGTGATACATTTATGTATCTCTCATGTTCAATCTGTATAAAGCTATGAGTCCTCAATGATCAGAAGTCTCAAACTAATTCGGAACATATATATTTCTATGTTTGTCAATGGTTTTTCATAGATTAAGATAGTGGTGAAAAAACAGCTTCAATCCTTAATTTTTTCCACAGCGTGTGTCGGTTAACATCATTCTGCTACAATATTTTAGGCAAAAAGATATTTAATTTCACTTGTACAAGCTTAGTACATTGTTATTTAATTTACGTTGGGTAGATGGAGACGATTTGATACTACTGAAGCAAAAATAATGTGTATTAAATGAGACGTGAATAATTTTTGATCCTTTAAAAATGGCTCCATTTGTCAGCGACTATGGTGACTAATAAAATCAAATCTAAGGACTTTTTCCACAAAAACGTGGTTAAAGAAGGTATACACAGTAAATCTTTAGTAAGATGGGAGGTCGAAAATGAAAATTCCGTCGACTAAATGGAAATATCTTACTTTTTTGAAATCTCAACAGAGGTAACAGTAAAGCTGTACCGTTAAATACGCCACACAATACAATTAATAGAAGAAACACGTCTTCAGATATATGCCTACTTTCAGATTTGTAGATAACGACAAATAAACCATGTCGAGTAGGTGGGAGAAAACTTGAGATGTATGTTTTTCATGGGTGAGTTTCATTTGTAATCTCAAGATATTAGAATAACGTAAGGAATCGACCCTTTGAAGAATTTTGTCAGATAGGGTTCCGATTTGTCCTGATAAAAACCACACCAATAATGTTATTACCTCTATCTGTGACGAGATCGTCAACATCAGGAGCTTCAGCGGAATCACATTCATCTACAAAAATCACGGAAGATTGTAGTCATGTAAATAAATAGTTAAGAAACATGTTGCTAGATTTATATAACAAACAAAAATGAAATCAAATGCGCACAAATGTTTGTTTAATATCAGAATCATAGTTATGCAATATGTAAAATTTACATATATATGGACAAAGAGATTACTAAAAACAGAACAAAATGAGATTTGGTTTGTATATTTAATCAGGAGTTAGGTTATCGAAACAGTTGTAAAAATTAAAACCAATGTAGATTTGCGGGCAGATCTACATTTTATGATGGAGTTTTAAAATGATCAACACGGGACAAATTTAGAGTCAATTGTTCGTGATATAAGTGAAGAATCTAAATATTTTAAAAAGATTAAAAATCAGTATTCCCGTCAAAAAAAAACAGGAAAACAATCTATTCAACTTATATTATCTGTACTTGACTTATGAGAGAAGCTTCACACTAGTAAACATACAGTTTATACATTATTCTTCTTAAACCAAATCTGCATGCATCCAGAACTCAGAATTTAGGTACATTTATCAACTGGGAAAGAGTATATTAAATAAAACATTCATACTCACGTTTAAAACTTTCCTCCAAGTTTGATGACTGATTGTCGCGTATAATTCCCAACTCATCCAAGTTAACATTAGCAGGGTTACCAAAACTACGGTCTTCCACCAAACAGAAATGACAATTTATAGAAATACAGAACAATCGGTCTAACAATAACTAGTGCGGTCAACAATATAATTGTCAATTATGGTTGTGAAATCCTCAAACACAATGTGGAATAACCCAATCTAGAAATTTATAAATTGATCTAAGATGATTTTCATTCAGTCAACTTGTAACTTCTTTTAGTTACATTTATTTATTCAGCGTGGGTTCTACTAATTAACTTTTGATTTGTTTTCAGTAGTATCGGTTATTCATCATTCAGTTAGTTGTTTGGTTTCCAGTGCATTTTTCCTTGTACTCATTATTTCATTGTGATTCTTTATTCAGTAAAAACTACTCAGCTGATAAAATTATATCAATTATAATCACTGAATTGATGTATACCTGCATTAACTTAAATGTATATTAATTCTTCTTACGTTTTCATCAACAAAACTTCTGTACTAAAAACTGGACTTCTCACTCCGATTAAAAAGCACGGAAGAGGCTAAAATTAGTCTTGTTGAGAGTATTGAATATTACCTTAGAGCACGAAGGTTATTTATTTATTTATTTATTTAAACACATAAAAATTGGTACAAGGAAGCACCAGATAAATATGCGCCTCACAAATCTCATTCGATTTGTGTGAGGGCTGTGATACTGCCCAGGTGCCCAGACTGAAGCAGGTGGTTTTCTTAGGGGGCCACACCCGGAGCCTTTGACCTGAATGTCTGATCCACAAGGCAGTGGAGCATCGTGAGGAGATGCAGTCCCATGGTAGCCGTTGACCAATGACAGGTTCGTTCGCCATTCGTTCCATCAGGATACTGGAGCCCATTTGCACCATTGGTTTGGCATGAGGGTTTTCCAACTCCCCTAGGTGAACCCTCCACATCCACCAACTCGGTTAAAGCGCCGGACATTCGCTTTTCGTCCTCTCACTTTCGTAAACAATACCCATTGTACGAGAAGGCAGTGAGTAGGACTTCCCTGGCAGAGGCTATATCAACAGCTGAAGACCTTATATATCAACGAAAACCTATTAACAATCACTGATCGTTGAGTAGCTTACAACTAACATCATGTTTTCATAGTCGGCTAGTGACGACCGATTTCTGTTGAGTAAATTCCAAAGTACTTAACAAGAAGTGAGTATATGCTTTAATAGTTATCTCGAAATCAACGAAATCGGAAAATACAGGCGAGGTCGTCAGTGGTTTATCGTGAGTGACTTAGATGAATTACTTTATGGACAGTGAGGGTACAGAGTGTGGTGCCCTTAGGCATAGTTGTAGATGAGTGAGATTGTGGATACGCACAAAGCAAGATGGAAAAACATGGCTGCGTTTGAAGAGCATGCAACAATAATTAGAATTAATTGAGAACCGAACATGTCCATCTTTATTCCTGTACTATATCCTTATATATTGCCACCACTAAATTAACTACTACGAATTCAGTATTCATCTTGTTATGCTAATGAGGTATGGCAACTTGGACCGATGCATATATGTAGCTGACTGACTGAAGAACCGAACATAAGTATATTTCTTACAAACAAGTTCTTATATTACAAATGCGTTATTTATTTAAAACAAGCTCTTACATGTTAGTTTCCAGTGACGAAAGTGTCGATGGACAAATACGAATTTCACAAATATAATGATAATAATGGTGGTTGCCTACCTTTTATATGTTTTTCAGGAACAACATTTACATCTTTTGAGACCGATTCCTGTGATGACTTCATAACTGGGTCATCTAACTCAACTAGTTCTTCGGTCTTAAAATTAATTCCAAAACAAGGATCAAATATAGATATCTCCATTTCACTTCAATTTTCAAACGCGTCGAAACTTATGGTAACTACAACAAAATGGCAAAGAGCTCTTCATAGAGGAAATATACCGAATAGAGGTTTCAACTTCAAAATAATGAAAATCACTACGAACCCCACTCAAATTTGAATTCGGTCACAACAAAATTACGATCCCTTTCACTTGTAAAATATCTACTGATAACAATAACATTTAAGTAACGTCGTTACCCCAAATATAACGGGATTTTTAGTTGTTGTTTATCACCATTGATAAATAGAACTAACCTCAGTAAAACATTTTAATGCAGCTGATAACTGAACTGCCAACATTTTTAACCATCAATAGACTCATAGTCGTTTGGTATCACCAGCTGTGACTGATAGTTTTAAATCACCGACGCATTGGCATACCAATTGCTTTCTTTCACAATCTGAGTTACTGAGTTTACTTAATCTTTTTCTTGAAGTCAAGTGGATTTTTTCCTCCTTATGAGTCCTGAAAAACGAATGTTCTTCAGAATACATTTTCTCTTGTTTCATAAACCTAGGTCGCAATAAAGAGATATTGGTTGCACACTGATCCAACACATGAAAGATCCTTAAGCCCCTGAGAAAAGGCGTTCAATAACAGAAAGCATATGAAGCGTTTGTGTCTAGTCTGAAGACACATTATGTACTGGCATAATGTGAAAAGCAACATGTGACAGAAACTATAAGTGTAGAGAGCATGGGAAGTGCCAGAACTAAAGAGTAGACGAACAAAACAGACTTTGTTGTGAAGTCCATCTCCTCATGATGGTCAAGAATCGTTATTGCATTGCGGCTGGCACGATAACAGACCATACATATAACGGTTATTAATTTGTGTTAAAACTGTTCACAGATTATAATTGTACAATCTTTTATAGAGAATCCGCTGGAAGTACTTCTTTACGTAAAGAATATGAGGGACCTAGATTCTCCTTCTCGGACTGCTTTTTAGAAAGCACGGAAAATTTTAAGGCGCTTCAAGCAAGAAGATTGTTACATTCTTGGCTGATACACAGTTCCAAAATGAATACTGAATCTTTGCATAAAAAATAGTGAAGCTTCCATCAAAAACAGAACTGCAGCGATTCGCGTATAGCCAGGAAGCATGTTGTGTACTAAAAGAGTATGCAGAGGAGCGTGAGGTCGGGGAAACAGATGAAAAAAAGTGAGTCGACAACAAGCACACACAATGCATTGTGTGGTTTCGTTAACGAAACCAATCAGTCTTCAGTAATAAGGATAGTAGGTTGATGAACCTGTGTTAATCCTGACAGATTTCCTTCCAGTGAAGGTCCAGCTTCTTCTTGAAAATGTTCACTGATGGTGCTGATACCACTTGTTCTGGTAAAGTGTTCCAGCCACTGACCACTCAATGAGAAAAACGGGAACCCACCTTTAGTTTATTAGATCGCGGTTTTAGAACCTTCTTGCTATGACCTCGGAGACTATTAGTGCCGGAGGGAGCAAAAAGATAAGACATATTAACACCCAGATCATAATTAATCGACAACAATCTGTATGAAATAGTGATTCTTTTGTACTTGATGGTTGCTTGATTTCGAATTATAGATACAATGCTTCCCTTTTTGCTCATCTAGTTCTGTGTGTTGTAAATAGCACTATTTAAATAGTTCCCGAGTTCGGGAACTCCTAGTTCGTATATTGATTCAAATACTTCTAACTATTACACAATCCCAAATAGCATATACCTTAGGTCGAAACAATCTTTGAGTCGAAACTAGAAGCAGATGATTCAACCTGCTACAAGAATATAAGAATGCACTTCACCCCAAAATTGGACTGACTCGTCTACCACTAAGCACATCCAAACTAGTTCCCGTGCTCAAGGTCGTCCACGTTCATTTGTTTCAGTTTCAATTCGGAAAGGACAAGTGATTAGGTGGCCTGTGTTGGTCCTGGCAGTTATGGTCTCTAAGTTGATCCAACTTTATTTTGGCAGAGTAGACAGATGGGGCTTAAATCATATATTGAGCTAATGAATTTCACTTGTTGGTGATTCTATGAGAAAGTCGATGGTCCGCTGACAAGTTATTTATTCTGCGCTTGTAAACTCATTTGAATTGTTCTCATAGATTCATTGCTTTGGAAAATTACAAAAATGAGGGTATATCAGGTGCGAATTTATCATCGAGTAATTCGAAAACTGTAATCAAGTCACCTCTGGTTCTTCGATATGACAACGGGCATAGGTTTAGCTTAGCTAGTCGATCATCAAACAGGAGCTTCGCTATTCATGGAATCCGCTTAGTTGCTGTTCTCTGAACCTTTTCCAATAGCTAACTGTTTTTTTTCAGGCAAGAGCTAGCCGCTTGTATGCAATACTCAAGTTTAGGACGCATGAATACTGTATACAAAGACAAAAAAATTTATCGTTAACATGACTAAAAGCCCTACGCATTAATCATAATGTTCCAAAACCTTAGGTGACTATTGCACGGCAGTGTACAATAATTTTCAAGTCCTGGCTAACGATGACTCCTGAGCCATTGTGTATCTGGACAACAGGTAGCTCACTATGTATGTATCTGTACCTTGATATTCGATATAGATCACAATACACTTGTAAGTATTTATCGTAAACTGCTAGGATTAGAATCGTTCAGATAATTTCTCCAGGTCATTTTGGAGTTCTGACCTATCATCCTTACTTACCCTTACTTTACCCTTACTTTGTATCGCTCTTCATATCTGGACATCTTCAGCATATAACAAGACAGATGATGACAAGAGGTGAGGAAGGTCATTTACATATAAGATGAATAACACTATCCCTAAAACTGTACCCTGAGGCACTCCGCTAAGCACCGCTTTCCAGCTAGACAACTTGGGGTTCACCAGTACTCTTTGTTGACACCCAATTAGGAAGTATTTTATCCACACCAATAGATTGCCTCCAAACCCGACAATTCTTGACTTATATAACAGCCGGTTGTGCGGAACTTTGCTGCAGTCGATGTAGGCTACGTCTATGGGTAAACTTTGGTTTTTAAGAGGTCACCAGCTTTTACGAGCCACTAATAAGTTAGTGAGACAGGAATAACCTGTTTTTAAACAATGCTGCTTTCCGAAAAGATCCGGTTTCCCTCGAGATATTTAAATAGCTGCTTCTGAATAATCTTTTATCAGATTTCAACAGCCACGCCAGTTAGGTCAACGCGTCAGTAGTTCTCATGTTTATGTTTCTTACCTGTTCTGAAGACAGGACTTATTATGGAGTTCTTTCAGTCTTTTAGCAAACGACCCTGGGTTACCGATAGATTAAAACATATGCCTAAGAGGTTCGCAACGACGTTAGCCAATTCCTTTAGAAATCTAGGAAACAGCTCATCGGTTCCTGTGGGTTTGTCTATGTCAAGCTTATTTAGCAGACCAAAGACATCGATTTCTTTATTGGTTGCATTGCCCAGTATGTGGGGGGATTTTAATGGACTGACGGGATGTTTCTACGGTATGTAAATTGCTAAAGTAGTCTGAGAATACTTCAGCTTTACCATAGTCATCATCCACCAATGAGGAGACATTTCCGTCTCCTCATTGTGCTAGGATATTTTCTCTACCTTTTGTCCTTAGGCTGGTGGGGAGTAGTGTAACGTCGTGTACTATATTACACCTACATAGCTTATTCTAGTTTCTGGACAAGCCAATTCACCTATAACGTTATGAGTCATATTTTGATCTTGTTAATTATTCGCTTATTGACCTTGACTATTTTTTTATATGAGCGTATGTGTATGCACCCTTCTTATCCTACCTATCACATGTCTGTCATTCATTTTAGTCTGACTATAAATGTTGATTAATGCTTACTTATAACGAGTTGGCTTGCCAGCCATCTCCCATATATGTTACTTTTTCTTCGCTCGCTAACATTTACTTATGTGCTTACTGCCTTCTAGCCTATGTTATTTGTCAATAAATATGTAGTTGCCACTTCCCTTTGTCTCCTGGTATTATACACCGTTCAGATTGATATAATAACGGTTATCGAGACGATCGATTAACGAAGCACTACACTACAGGCTTATATGTGAATACAAACGTTTAGGACATTCTATGGATTCCTTAACGGTTTTCTCCTGGTACAACCTTCCAGACTTACGGAGGGTCAAGGCACAGGTATTCCGAGCATCTCGATATTGAGATTTCGTCTCAGCAGTCCCCAGTAACATAAATCTAACCTACATTCTTCTCCTTTTAAGAAGAAGGGTGCGAACCTACCTACTGAAATATGGTGGAGAGTTTCTCAGACCCCTTGGTGTGGCCTAAGCGATATGGGGTGCAGTAACTTTTGAGTATTAAATTCGAAATACATCCCAAGTCGTTTCAATTGGGGACTCTGGCTCTATTGTCTAATCTACTAACAATGCTGAGTGTATAACATCTTGTGCATTTGCTTTTCAGACGCTAGGTCTTGGTTGAGCTGATGCGTTCTCGATTTGACAACTGTGCAGAAGACAAAGTTGATGATGCAACGGATGTTCTAATTTTACAACTAGTTACCAGTAGCACCTTCTATGTTCGATCGTTCCCAGTCAGATAGAAATCAGAAGTCAGACGAGAAGAGGCAGGAAAGATATATTTGATTCGTTATCAATATATCGAGGACCTTTTATATGAGCTGGCTAATGAAACGTAGGAGCTATGTCCCACGCCGTGTTGAAACGTGATCTGGTGCGGATGCATGACCGAAAGCCTTCAGCTAAACAAGTCCACTTAAACAACGTGGTCAGCATCCAATGTCGAACACTTAATGAGCTATTGATTTTGGGGAATTATTTATAGCTACAAAGTTAAGAACTGTATGGTCACTTTTACCTAGGGATAGCATGTAATCAAGGTTCGTGACGTCATTCTCATCATGAGTGAATAAAAGATCTAGTAAGGATGAGTCAGAGTCCGAGTCGTACCTAGTCGCTTCTTTCACATGGTGTAGCAGGGCACATTGAATAGTTCCTGCTCGAAGGAACTTTCTGACGGTCATGAAAATGGGCACAAGTTTGGTGAATGATTGTTCTGAGGCGAGTTCCACCCATGTAATTTATGTCTATTTCGTAATTCTAAATGCTTTAAATGTGGTACAATTGGTCACATACATGCAGTTTGTAATACTACTTTTTTATTTCCTTGCAACTAATATTAAGCTTTGCAATTTTGGTCCTATTAAGTTGAGTTTTTAATGATAGTCTATCTTTATCCACGACTTCGAAAAAAAGTATAGAGTTATATAGCAGTTCAAAATTAAATGAAACTCAAAATCATTGTGAGACAAAAGCTTCTGATCAATCAACTTATCAAATTTCTCATGTTATTGTTCTAGACATGCTTTGTCCTAACGATTCCCACATATTCCTGATAGAATTTTTTTATAAATCTGAGGACATGTGGTGTTTATATGAACCGATGATTTCTTTGTATTGATTCTAAATACAGTACATTCGTTCATGTTAACCTAATACTTCTTGATTAAATTGCATTATTGCTGGGATTACTAGTTCATACTATAATTCAAATTATTACAGGAAAATATGTCGAGTGAATCAAGTTATGATCAAAAATCTGATGCAGTTTCGATGGATGTTGATTTGACTAATAATTCATTACTCTTAATAAATTTTAGGAAAGTATTTCAGAAGAATCAAATCCTGATGTCACGTCACACATTATTTGTCCTCATAATGGATTTGCTTCTCCTTGGTAATTTTGTTCACTGCGAAACATGAGCACTAAAACGAGCTCGATTTTGATTACGATTCGGATGATTTCATATCAACTGTTGTTTATTCTTATCATGAAGTTACTTCTAATGAATACTCAAGTCAATATGAGAAATATGTCTTGAATGAAGCCATAATATTCATAACTTGGGGATATGAAGACTCAACATTATTTCGTGGCGGAGGATAGTGTTGGAAAATCTATGGTCCGAATTCTAGATAACATTGGTTTCTGTACACAGCCGACACGGTGATTGTATACAATTCCAAGACCCAGATGAGTCCGTTCCGATTTCAGTTGTTAATTCTAATACTAATGAGTATATTCTAGATCATACAGAACCGACATTCATTACACGGTCGGACAGACACGATGAACCTAAGAACAGGTGCACAATTGATTGCAGAAATTCGGATTCTCATTTAAGCTGTGGTGGATGTCGTGTTTGTATGAACTAATGATTCGTTTGGACTTGATGACTGCCCAGTTTTTAATGCCAAATACAATACGTTCATTTGTGCTCATGTAATACTTCTTGGTTAAATTGCGCCATTCCTAGTTTGCACCATAATTCAAATACCCCTGATTATCACAAATCCCCACTGCATTTAGTTTAAGCTAGTCTCAATGTGGTGGACAGTGACCTATCAGCATCTACCTCTGTTTTAAGTCCAACACCACTGCTGAGATCTGTGTTGGTATACCGACAACCAAGTGTAGCTTCAGATCTTCGGGTCGAGACTCAGATAATGCAGCACACCAACCTTCGTCTTAAAGTTTGTTAAAAGGCATCTGCCTGATTTCAAATAGTCGTTTACGAAGTTAATTAATCTGTGTGAAGACTACTTCGTCTTATAATATACTTTCTACCACTACATAGTTATAGACTAAAAGACAGCTATCTTTGGGGTTAGGGTTTACATTACTGAAAGTATTATTTGAAGTAAGTGAATTCACCTTAGGAATCGGGGAAGCAGCATGTTTAGCTGTTGAATCGCCCATTTCTTCTAGACTGTCTGCATTGTACTTCATTTTTCTGGCCCTCATCAGTGCCAGCCCACGATAATGAACATGCAATTATAGACCACGGTTGGCTACTGTGGGCATCCAAACCAGATTTTAACCTGAGTTAAGGAGTGTCTAACTACAGGACTAACAACAACGTGCACCAGTTCCTGCCATCCATTATTTTAATTGCAGTAACGCATTGACACTTGGTAGATGGTTAGCGTAGACAATTCATAAGTCATTTCGGACAGTATTTTTTATCTGTTTGTCCACATTTCATATTGTTCCCAATTGGTTGTCCGACAGTTTTTTCAAAGCAATGTTTACTTCTTAGCATAGACAAACTTTTCTCATTGATTAGCACTCTCAAAACACGTGGTTTATCATTCCCCCCCCCTTTGTGTAATTTTGTGCACTGCAGCCAATTTATTAGGTCTGCAATGAATTTTTTTAAATTCATAACACAAACATGTGTTCAAACTACTTACTTAACATACTAACTTCCGGACGTATCATTTCATATATAATACATGTGAACTTCTCCCAAACCCATCGAACAAAAACATCATCTCACGATTTATATTATTGTTTTTACTTCTCATATCATATATCTACATGTGCATTTCGCCATTATTTTTTAAAAATTTATTTTCGCTTCATCACAAGATTCTCCATAAACTCTACATGAGACAATTCGTTAAGTATCCTGTCAATATACATGAATATCAAATTGATAGACAGATCGTTATCTTCAGCCGTTGCACGGACCTCGGATTCGAAGATGGGGTTTATCTAAAGGTAAAGGATAGTAAATGAACTATGATGCTTTGGCATTGGTAGGTTGAAGTATTACGAATCATCAAGCTGTTCACCTTGTGCAGATTTCATTTATGTCTTTCCTGATAGCTCTGCAATAAGATCTGATGTTATCGGACCTGTATTTCCCTCGTTATTTAGTAAATCAGAAAACTGAGATAATTATTGCCACGTTCACCATAGACATAATAAGTAGGTAGATAACTATTTAATCTATAAAATTGCAATTCTACTACGAGGTTATTTGCTAGCTCCTAACCATCTAACTGGGGATGTTAGAATCTCTTCATCCACCTTTGAAAGAAGAGTTTGCAGTTTGTGGGAAAACACAAGAATTCCATGAGTGTTTGTTGTCATTCCCGTCGATAATATAGCAACTAGCGTTGTCACACGCCTACATGGTTCTTTTGACAAATAAAGCATTCTAACCTATTATTTAGTCATACATACGTGCGGTCTTGAGCATGTGTATATAATCTTAAGGGCATGCCTATGTTTCTTTGATGTTCATAAATTTTCATGACGTTCGAATTAAATAGAGTTAGCATCATAGCTTCTACGATTCGCTTTTGGTCTGACTGAAATACACTCATTTGGTTTCATAGCAACGCTGTTGATCGAACGGGGTTAACCTAAGTATAATATGTGGAATGAAACGTTAGATTTATGTTATGGCGTTCACTGAGCATTATTCGTCATGGAGTCAGAGAGCGGACACCATTTTAGTTCTTGCATCTACAGCTGATAATGTTTTGTAAAACAAGAATTTCGAACGTCAACAAAAACTCGGCAGAAATTTTTTTCAAACAGATCACATTGCATTATCAAAATTTATTAAAGGAATTAGTTGTTTTAAACAATGACTTCATTGTACAATGAAGACGATAAACATATAAAAATAATAAGTATAAGACAAGATTATTCCTATGTGTATGTTATCAGTACAAACATCAGTTGGTGTAGTATATTTTATTAAAACTAATTCGTTTACTAAAAACAGCATTTGATTTCAAAGTAGTCAGGTGACAAACAACAAATGATGATGATGATAATAAGAAACTTGAAATGATTCATAGCTCATCAAATAGATGCTTTTCGTAGTATTGCGTCTTTCCAGATTGATAGTCAAATTGTGAAGCTTTCATTGTTGTTCTAGATCATATCATTCATTCTCACTTCCAAATAGTAATAATGAAATTGGTAAAATGCAAGGCTTGATAAATCAGTAATAAATTTTTATTATTACAATTGGAATATGATGCAAAGAGGCTCGATTATCACAAACCTACATATACAATTAAATAAATCTCGATGAATAATAAGATTAATTTAAGTGCAGATTCCCAAACAAAGAATTTTCATACATAATCAGTATGCATTATGTAACCACAGTAGGACACTATTTAAAGAGCAGATATTTATCATATGGAAGAAAAAATTATTTCAGCAGTGATTCAATGCTTTGGCATAATTTCCTACTATAAATTTTAATGACACCAACAATACATGTACATAAAAAACGATGTCGTTTACATTTTCCTCAGTAAGATTCATTTAAAAATCTTCCATAAATCATAAGATTATTCGTCTAATCAGTATTTCAGTCAGTTTCCTCTTTGAGTAATATTGCCAATTATTTCAAAATGTATTTAGTAGTATTATTGAGTTGATTGGCAAATTAATGTCTCAGAGAATCCTTAAACATTTAAAACTTATCACTGAAACACTATGCCCCCAAAAGCCCTGGTACGGCCGAAAGTGGGGAGAGTTCGCTCTCACCTTCGAAATGCTCTCACATGGCCACGCGTATATAGCCTCTGCCAAGGAAGTCCTACTCACTGCCTTCTCGTAACACGGGTGCCGTTTACGAAATTGAGAGGACGAAAAGCAAATGTTCGGCGCTTTAACCGGGTCGGTGGACACAAAAACTTCACCTAGGGGAGTTGGAAAACCCTCATGCCAAACCAATGGTGCAAATGGGCTGGCTCCAGTATCGTGAGTGAAATGGCGTATGAATCAGTCTTTGGTCACCGGCTACTATGGGACTGCATCTCCTCACGATGCTCCACTGCCTTGTGGATAAGGCCTCTAGGTCAAAGGCTCGGGGTGTGGTCCCTTAACAGAATCACCTGCTTCAGTTTGGGCACCTGGGAAGTACCACAGCCCTCACACAAATGAGATGAGATTTGTATGGTGCATATATATCTGGTGACCCTTTGTACCAATATTTATGTGTTTAAATAAATAATGAAACACTATAATAACAGTCATACTAAAGTAACATCCCCGCAAACATACTATAAATAACAGTATATAGTTGAATATATAATTAAAATTTCGCACACTTACATTAAATAAGTCTTTAGACAACTTATGACTAATAAATTGGAATATAAATTGCAGAACGTAGAAGGAGTTCACTTTTAATGAGTTCCAAATTTAAGTTTTTCTCATCTTTCATTGGTCCCATTAAGATTCTTCTCCTAAAAAGAATAATTTAATTACAAAAACAAACCATCATATAAAATAATCTGAATTAAATAAAAATTATAATCGATAAAATACATCAATAAAACCATCATAGAATATGTCAAATGAATAGGACAGTTGAAAGTATCCATGACTCAAAAAGACAGTTGAAGAAGAGTGGACACTTTATCGCTTAAAATTTCAATGTTGTTTGTCGAAGGTACATGTGAATATACGAATAAATTAAACGTATTCACATTTCAATTATATTGCGCCAAACGAATGAGCAAATAATTTGTGGAAGCCACAGAAATTAGGATACTGAAACAACAAAACGACAAGAAACAAAAGGATAGACTGCCTACAACAACCATTGTGTCTAAAAATCCAACAATAGTCAAACGGAATACTTAAAAGACGAATATTTAGATAGATTAATAAAGGATAATCCCAGAAAATGTTACACATTCGAAATTGTCAGAAAATCTCCCGAAAATAATAGAAAAAGAGTACTGAAGAACGATCGGCTTTCGCAATCATGTCAAAAAGTGAGCTTTAACTGAATTGCTTACAGTTTATTTCAAGACAGTTTCCTAAACAAACTGTTAAAATCAAGTTATATAAATCCTTACAATCACTACATACGTCACTGAATCGGAGCATATTAGCAAACGTTTTACATGTAGGTGTTCTACTAAACTTCCAGTAAGGAACTGTAGCCAGTGAGGTCATCTTGCCAATTTGAATGTAGGGCAGTGTATTCTTAGTGAAGATACTAAGTGTTTGTTACAATGCATTGGAAATTGAATCAAAATAAAAAAGTCTATAGAATCTAGAAGTATGTGCGTTCCAATTTAATTGATAAATACTAAATAAATATAAGTGAACTGTAAATAACACTCACTTTCATGATTATTTCTCACATGTTTTCTAAGGTACTTCTTTGTTGAAAATGATTTCTCACAGAATTGACAGGAATATCTTAATCCTAAAGATAAAGAACATGAAGATAGTTCGATAAACTGAAAGATCAACACGAATCAGATAAAAGGTTAATACTTTTAGCAGTGACTAATGATGGTAATAATAAGAATACCACGATGCGCTATACTGACTAGTATTGGCGATGGTTGGAAGAAAGTTAGGAGTGGCCAAACCAAAACGTGGCAACAGAGCTTGAAGTCACTAACTTCTAATCTGAGCCATGTTGGTAGATGCAGACAACTTAGTTGGGGTCCGCACGACTATCGTAAACAATGGTTGGAGACTCTGGGTGACATGGCTCAGAATTGATCACAATGGCACAGGTGTATACACTTTTTATGTACCCCTAAACCTTGAGATTAAAACTGTTTCATATCCGTCTTTCTTTCTGTACTATATCCTTATGTACAACATTTCTTTTATATATTACCACTAATAAATTAATTACTTTTATGAATTCTGTGTTCATCTTGTTGTGCTAACGAGGTATGGCAACTTGGACCGATGCATAAATATGCCTGGTCCTACGTTGTAACTGACTAATGACAATAACAATGAAAATAGAAATAATGCATCTCATTGAATTCCTTTCATTACATAATAAGAAACTAACGTTAAGATTTAATAAAATAAAATGGAGAGATAAAAAAACACCAGACTACAACAACATCATTTATAGATAGACTTCAGGACACTTCATTTAATCGTAAGTGAAATTATAACATTACTTTCTTGAGTTATGGATTAAGCTTTCTACTATATTTTATTAACGATCAGATACCATTTATATAAGAGCAATCAATGATTTAAATCTTAGGTAAATTAAAAAAAGAAACCATTATATCTAGTTGTTGTTTTTTGCCCCCAAATGCCCTGGTACGGTCGAGAGTGGGGAGAGTCACCTCTCCCTCTCGAAATGCTCTCATATGGCCAGCGAATATATAGCTTCTGCCAGGGAAGTCCTACTCACTGCCTTCTCGTACAATGGGTGTTGTTTACGAAAGTGAGAGGACGAAAAGCGAATGTCCGGCGCTTTAACCGAGTTGGTGGATGTGGAGGGTCCACCTAGGGGAGTTGGAAAACCGATTCCAAACCAATGGTGCACATGGGCTCCAGTATCCTGATGGAACGAATGGCGAATGAACCTGTTGTTGGTCAACGGCTACCATGGGACTGCATCTCCTCACGATGCTCCACTGCCTTGTGGATCAGACATTCAGGTCAAAGGCTCCGGGTGTGGCCCCCTAAGAAAACCACCTGCTTCAGTCTGGGCACCTGGGCAGTATCACAGCCCTCACACAAATCAAATGAGATTTGTGTGGCGCATATTTATCTGGTGCTTCCTTGTACCAATTTTTATGTGTTTAAATAAATAAAAATAAAAAAGTTGTTGTTTTTACTTCAAAATTTTTTTTTATTTTTATAATCCAGAGTGATTAGGTATTCAAATTATTTTCACATGATTTCTTTATTATCCTTGTCTACTCTTAGCCCCCCCCCCCATTTTCAGTCTAGTTGACCATTTATTTTTATATATAAATGTTCTTAACAAGTATATTATGTGTGATCAGATTGTTCGGAATGTATTGCGCTAATATATCATTATATAGTTCTGATAATCTTCGTCTTCTTATTACACTATCTAAATATATATATCTATATTAATTAGAAGACAAAAAACTAAACAATTAACATATTCTATGTAACCGGATAGTAGAATATCAAATTATAAAAAAAATCTTATGTGATATTTACTATTTAACAGTCTATTTGAATTAGTTTATAATAATGAAAATATTTTATCATTCAATAGGCATAAAGAAATATCTGTTACAGTTGAATTCACAGATCGATTTTAGATGGTCATCATTGAAAACCTGGAAGCACTGGATAGACGTTTTAATCTAGTATGGGACTCCATAAGAGTGCGTATCCATGATCCCGCATGCAGAAGGATTAAAACCCAGGACCTTCAGTCTCGGGAGAAAATGTTTAACATCTAGACCACTAAGCCGACATCCAACGGTGTTAATATTTAACTGCCATAGATTCATAATTTTGTGCAGCCCTTCATCCATTGCCTCAGGTGGATAACTGTCTCCACCCAACACAGATTGGGCATCACTGGTCACTACTTCTCAGTGGTCTAGAGGTTAATCGTTTGTGCGCTAGACTGAAGGTCCTAAGTTTGAGTCTCGAGTGCGGCATCATGGATTTGCACTGTTGAGGAGTCCCATAACAAAACGAACCGGATGTCCACTGCTTCCAGGTTTTTAATGATGATCTAGCTTAGACTGACTTATGAATTCAATTGTGAAAATACTACAATCATTACAAATTTGTAGACTGAAAATATTTTTTAAACAGTCAAAATAATAAATCATATTTAATATTCTTTTAATTATACCTTCATGAACAACTTTAACATGATCATGTAATGTACTCAGTTTTGTAAATTTTTTGTCGCATTGTTCACAAGTAAACCTCACTCCTAAAAATATTTTTTTTGAAAAAAAAAACAAAAGAAATAAGTAACAAGTCTAGTAGAATAATAAATCCATTTACTTCAATTACGAAGCATAGTAAAATAAGCTTGCGTGTATATTTCAGACCATAATGACTCTGTGAAAGAGATCATCCGAAACATAAGAAAAATGAAATAAACACTAGAAAATCAACTGCATAGTCAACACCAGTGACTATTGAATCTAAGATGAAATAACTAAGAATTTGAATTATTAGGATGTTAAATATGTTTAGATATATTAGATCAAACCTTATCATATTAGCCTACTAGTTGAACTTGTTTAAATTGTTTTCTATGGAATCAATAAACTGTATCACAATGTTTCACACTGTCTTATTCTGCTCAAATGATAATTTGCTTGTCATGCAAATTGTACAACTGACTACAAATTCTAGAATGCATAGATCTATTGAGGCGAGCGATTCCAGGTAAACATAGGTTAAAATCAATTAGTTTCGATCAATCAAAGAGCCAATAGGAAGATACATAAAGAGGGTGACTAAAAATTACTTTCAGATATTGGCTTTTGGAAAGTCTTTTTTCTATAAAGGAACAAAATTATAGGCAGTGTAGATATATTAAAGTGAATAATAGTGCAAAAGTTTCCTGAGAAGGTTAGTCAACGGGCTAACACATATCAGTTTCACTTTGTATACATCGAAACAAAACAGATAGAAAATGTACGATTCTCAGCTTATGATAACCGAACATTTATTTTATTAACTTTTAAATACATAATCATATCATGCGAATCAATAGTGTAACTCAATGAAGAAGTAAATGTTTGTGTAATCAGTTTCAAGAAACACACTTTGTTCAACGCCTATGATATGGGGTGGCCCAAGTAAAAATCAATATTTTGAACCATCGGTTTGTGTAACAGAAACTAAAGTCGAGATTCAATATCATGAGACGATAGATAGATAAATAAACTGACGTGTGGCAACATCAGTTATGGATCATCATTTGTCACTTCAAAATAAAAAGAAATAGATCTTAATCTGAAAAGTGGATTGGAAACATGATTAACATTCACAACTTTCATACTTCCAAACTTATCCTTTCGTTCCTTCGAATTTATTAACTATTATTGGTGTTATGTGTCAACTACCACTTTATCGACCACTTTATCTCAATGGAAACTATTCGCGTTAGAAGAGCTTCAATCGTTTGTAATTAGAAAGTAACTTCGATTCATTAATAAAAAGCAACGGAAGAATCAGTGGAATACGACTTTACTAAGTCACTCGTTCCTATAGTAAACGAAATCAAAGTCGTTATAATCCATTATCCATTAGACACTTTGGAATAAAAACGCTATGGTTTCTTACAGAGGAAACAACATACTTCAATTTATACGATTGAGTAATATCACAATCCACAAAACAACCATGTTAATATACAATTAGAAATATGAATAACTTGAGTTATCAATACATTCTAACAAATTTTAACAGAATCCTTTCTTATAGAACAAGCTCACTTCCCATTATCTTATAATCATGTAGTTCATACCCTTAGAATATCTAATTGCTCGTACTTTTCTTATAGTAAGAAAAACTCAACAAAAAACAGATTGAAATAAGAATGGAACTAGTGAACAGGATGTGTAAACATAATAGAATCCACAAAATACACATAAATGTAATTGTTTGATTGTAAAAAAAAGATTATACCTTCATGAATTGATTGTATGTGTCTATTAAGTTGGCATTTCGCCGTAAATTTCTGATCACATTTATCACATTGGAAAGTTATACCTATAAGAATAAAAAAGCAGAAATTTGATAAAATATATTTAACCATTTAGAATGAGAATCCAACTAAAAAATAAGTGATTCCTAAGAGTTCAAGCTTCGCAATATGTGACCAAATGAAAGGTGAGAGAGGATTACAATCTGCGATTTATTAGTTGAAACTCATGTTTAAACTACTATAACACCAATTTATCTTTCATGAAACAGAGCTTTTAGGGGAATATTATCAATATGAGTCGTCCCATAATAGGACGAAATGGCCATCCAGTGCTTCCAGGTTTTCCATGGTGGTCTAGCTCCAATTGACTCATGATTTCAACTATGAAAATAATTAAAAGTCAAGGAAACATGAAGAGTGATTTATATAATCAATATTTGGTGAAAATGCCCGTAAAATACGATTTCAAGATAGAATATAATTATAACCAACCAATATAAATTACCTTCATGAACAGACTTCATATGTCCGTTTAGATTGGATTTACAGTTAAACTTCCTATCGCATTGCTTACATATATATTTTATTCCTAATGAAAAAACAAAAAACAAAAATTAACATAAAATATATACTTATGCAAATTCGATATCATTATTTAGGGTAATGAGTCTTCATCAACTCAGGTGGCGGAGACATGTATTATGTATGCTCGAAATCTCCTACTTCGATGGACAGTGTTGCATGGTGTAAAAGTCGGCTGAAAGATATGGCATGACAAACGTAAACGGATCAGCTCATAAGGTCATTACCAAATGGATTGAGCCGTGTACGTAGGTGTAGACTATTTCCCTGTGGTATGAACGATTACCGAAACTAGTGGTTGCAGACATTAGATGATGTAAGTTAGAATCGATCATAATGGCCCAAGTGTTTTTACATTTATTCTTAACCTTACATTATAAGTCCTGAAGTCTTCAAATGTTTCTTTTCTTTCATACCTAACGTTTTCAACTATTATTGATCATTTTTAATACTAACATTACATTAGGATTGGCCTAGATAGTCTTATCGTGCAGCGTTAAAGTGGTGTGACAACTGAAACCCATGTACATATGTACCACATTCCAAGCAGAGTATTAAAACTGACTACTAACTGATTGAAACATTAGAAATCGAAGATGTTAAAACAATTTAAATGAAAAGCATACACGAAATGAGTTTTTGATGAGAATGTATGAAGCGTACCAGTTTCACAGTAGAACATCTTTTTCACAACCGAAACATACCTTTATGAATAGCTTTCACGTGGATATTTAACATGCATTTAGATGAAAACTTTTTACTACATTGATCACATGGATACTTTATTCCTAATGGAAAAAAAACAAGTATGAATACTGATAAATGTTTATGAAGCAAATTAAAAACCAATAAATGTTATGTACTAAGGGTTGGAAGTATACATATCATTCTAAAAATATACATAGCTATTCATAAAGAGAAAGGGATAAAAAAAATTGACAATCATCCTCATAGAAGACTTTGAACTAAAATTATGGTGTGAAGAGTGAAAACAATCACAGAAATGGAAATTGAAGTACTCCAACAAGATAGTAAGAGGTAAAACGCACATTCTACTTGTGGAAAACGCTGACGAACAACACTAGTCATTTACATCGAAATACTATATCTATCAGTAAGAGTTTATTCATATAAACTAGTTAGGTAATAAAAACATCAAAATATTATTCAAAGTTCTATGACTTCAAGACCTGAATAAAATATTCTTAATCATTATCAATGTTATAAGTATTTATCATGATATATCTGTGTAGGCTGAGATTTTATCCAGGTGATTGAACCGAATCAAACAGTTTCCATACCAAACTACTCTTTGAACATTCGACTTAAACGTCTAATCCACAAGGTAGTGAAATATTAGAGGATTCATATCCACATATGTTAAAAAGTTAGATTCTAGGAAAGCTAGAGAAGAATTATATGTGTATCATCATTAGAAGTTCAGTAAAATACATATATAAAAAGTTGAAGCACAATCATGGACTAACCTTTATGAATATTCTTGTTATGTTCATCTAAGCCTACTTTAAAAGCAAATTCTTTGTTACACAGATCACAGGTAAATTTTACACCTAATTAAAAAAAACCATAAGCATTAATAAAACGTATGTTACTCAAAAAATGTAAACCACTTTTTTAAACAAAATCAGTAAATATACTAGTGGATGGCGATAGCTTATCACTATATAACTTTGGGATGCAGGTATGTCCAGCTGATAAATCCCAAATAGGACGAAACGCGCGCCCTGGATTCCACTGCTAGCCACCATCCATCTTTGCTCATAAAGCTTGTGGCTTACGGCAATCCGCACAGGATGCACATATGCCAACAAGAGACTGATCAATTGCAGTCCTAAACAACAATGGGAAGATACAAGCAAACAACACCAAGTGAATCTGACTGTTAGACATTTATTAGTAGTATTTCTTGATATACATAATGAAAATTGACCTACATATGTACACTTGGACACCTAAAACTCCTTAAACAAATAGAATTTAATGCCTTCAAGTTTCGAGGCAAACAACACTTTCAGAACACTGAGTCTGAAAGCAATACTAATACAAATAATCTATTTCGGTCAATTCACAATACTACGCAATGAGATGGATTTCCGAGTATTCGGTGTGACGCAATAACCAGCAAAGTTCTATCACATCAGGCATAAGAAAATTGGATGATTATTAAGTAACACTTCAAAATAAATAAAACTAGAAATAAAAATCACTGGATCAAGGGAACAGTGTTTGACAAAAACCATGATTACTACGATAACCAGAGAACTTCTATTCTATTATAACATAAATAACTTGACATCTATCATAGCACATCAAACTTTAGACAATGGAAATGTAGAAAAGTTATTGAAATTAGAATGGTTAACCTATTGAAACACTCCTCATGAGGAAGTAAGGTTGGTTAAGGTCATTAAATGATTGAAAGTCAATGAAATATGTAATAATGATGTGGATGAAAAGTGTATCCTCAATGATGATTTGATAGGAATGAATGTAGTATATAATTTCATTGAAGAACACCATTATCACACTAACATAACTTACCTTCATGATTAGCTCTCAAGTGTTCATTTAAATGAAATCTAGATGTATACAATCTGTCACACTGATTACATGGATATTTTATTCCTAAGGAAAACGAAATTATCAAAATTCGTAAATGTACTTAAACAAGTTTTAAAAAATCAGTAAATAAGGTAATCAAATAGGAAGTTTACAGCACACATAAATAAACATGACCATTTCAGGAAAGAATTAGTGATATTGATAATTAATAATTTTATTATATTCATTTTCATATTTCTATGAGATGTTGATATACTAACCAGATACTCAAACAGAACTAGGCAGTGTTCATAAGAGATATTTCTCCAAGCCTGCGATCTAATGCACAAAGGAGTGGCAATTTGGGAAATGCATCATCTATCGAAATGTGAAACTAAATTAACCGAAAAACAATCGTACAACGAACACTATTTTGAATTTCCGAAATGCGTGTACCATCAACTCCAGCGGTATATTATTCGACCACTGAATAGCGGATTTTTAAGAGCACTGTAATAATATCTAGGTGTTTTTCAGAAAACAACCATCGATTGAGACAGTGACTGACTTTTTTCTTCTAAAAAGATGGCGGCTGAGCAAATGGATTATCCATTATCATTCACTATTGAGGATATATGGCTATCACAGGTCATATATATCTGACGTATTCACTGGCTGCTCGTACATCGAACAACCTGCAACCCCCTGATTGAAAGTTTAACGAAACGCGCACGAACTAAGTCGTCATACTAAGCAGTCGAGCAAACCTCCCGCGAGTTGGTAATAAAATAATCAGAAACACGTCAACGTTGACAGCGCTATCATAGACATAAATTTAGAGCGATACCCCAGGAAGTAGGAACTTATGTTCTTGTTATATCCGGATAAGAATAATGAATGGTAACTTTGGGATCAATTTGTGGACCAATACTATGCATATATTTTTAATCGTATAATTGCTAAATAACTAAACTATTCATATTCATGTCTCTGTTATTATGAACTTCATTTTGACCTATGAACTATTATTATAAGATTTACCATTCTTGAGTTATGCCCTGTCTATCATTTACTATCTCCCTTATCCACAGCCATATTTGACTAAATCTTGTACAAATGTTGATTCCTATTTTATGGTACGATAAGGCCTGTCTGTTTGGTATATAAACCCAGTATGCTTGAAATAAACGATTCATACCGCAGGGGCTGTTCTGGACTTAACTGGCTGGACTAGGCAGATGGAAGGACCGATAAGTACTCTAGACTGCTCGTACGGGTTACATGTGTCATTGGTCCGATCGATAATTCGCTGTTCTCTAATTAGTGGCATCGTTGTTGATCAGGTGTGCAATAGACCAGACACCATCTTTAAATACTTTAGGAAGCTCTACAATCATTCGATTTGTTAAGTCTGTCATTGGATTCGTCTGTGCTTGAAGATTAATGTTGTGGTAAAATATTACAAACAACCTTAAGGAAAATTACCAGTTTGGAATGATTAATAACATATTTTAGCACAAAACAAGAAATAATTGTTGTGACTGACACTAAGCAAATGGCTCACGTGCTGTATTCTCGCATATTCTAGCAGAAGGATCAGGTGAAGCTATAATCCTTACAGATCCCTCGATCAAAGATGCCGAGAACTATGAGTAAGTAGGAAAGAGAGCACTAGCTTTGATGTTCACCATCAAAATGTTTGAAAGACAACATCTTTTCGACCTAGTTGGAGCTCTACCTTTAGAAGTACATATACGAAGTTACCCACCAATCGTGTTTCCAGCTACACTGATCAAAGATGCAAATAACGAAAATGAGACAACATACAACAAATAAATAGATAAATTATTCTATCCAGATTAAACCGGTGGGTAGGATAATTTGAGTAAAAGTTCAACTGGTATCCAGACACCTACTACATTCCATGCTACTTGAATAGTTGACTGACTCAACCTCGACAACTTCCAAACCGATCTTCATACGTTGGTAGTACTTTTATTAGAGGAAGACACTGGATGTCCGACGGTGAAACCGAGCCGATAGACACAAACAGTTTATCTGAGGTAACAGAAACACTATTATTTCCAAACCAGAGGTACAAATCGGCACTAGAATCTTCGAACAATCAGTGGCTCATGAACACACTTCGGTCACTGATGGAAAACGAAGTCATAACGTTGATTTATTGTCTTATTGAACAGATCCTTAGATCATATAGTAAGTGTCAAAAAATGTAGTAAAATACAAACAGAATTAATGAACAGAGTATGATTATCACATTAAAACCTGAAAAAACTTACAAATAAAAATGCTTTGTAAAAAAAAATCAATACCTTGATGAACTGATTGTAGATGTCTGCAAAGAGCGCCATTCGAAGAGAATATTTTACCACATTCATCGCATGGAAAACTTACACCTGCAGGAACAAGAACAAATGAAATGAAATCATCTCTAATATTCTGAGTACTATATTATAAGCCCAAAGTTGACTGAAAACAAATTTCAAGTCAAATAACGAAACGATCATATGTAATGACTCAGCAACAAAAAACAAAATAGTTGAAATATTCTATGAACAAAAGAGCATTGGGATCTCAAAATCATCAAAAATCCTACTTAATGTTCAGTGTTTTACCGTCTATCTGCATCAGTTGAATAATGTAAATCAGATTTTTTTTAAAGTCATTGTAGGGAAACTACTAAATGATATTTAATTCAACCATACCTTGATGAGCAGCAGTAACATGTTCATTCACAGCTTCACCGCTACTCGAGTAAAACTTTCTGTACGATAACATCAAGTAAAGTTGTTTAATTATTTGTAGTAGAAGAGATATGTAAAAAAAATGGTGTAAATGAAAGGTCCACATTTAACAATGATATTATTAGAAGGCACATAACATACAATTTCATAGTAGACCGTCATTATCATAACCTAACTTACCTTCGTGAGCAACTTTTATGTGGTCATTTAATTTGGATTTAGTTCCAAACTTTCTATCACATTGATTACAAGGATGTTTTATTCCTAATGAAAGAAGAACAATTAGTCGTATTACTAAATGTACCGACTTATATTTAACACCAATGTTTAAATATTTGTATAAGTAATTTGCAACACAGATAATCCAAACATACAAAAGAGAAATCATATGAACGAACGAACAACCATTTGTGTAATAGACTTTAAAACAATATCAACAAATGTAATTAAAACCATGAACCTTCGCTTTTCGAACTCTCAATTCAATATAAATACCCTGCCACATGATTGCAGTGACCAGTATATGCCTGACACAGAATACAAACAGATGGTCGTATAAAAATATTTCTACAGGATCAGGTGACTATTACCGCCCTTCACAAAACTACGGAATTTGGACTGAACGCACCGTGTGTAGAACGATTGAAATTCCTATCTGTCCTTATAATTTGTTTAAATATTACACCTAGGTAACAATTGCATACACTGATTAATCAATGGTTTCTTGATGTCATCCCTTCATCTAACTAATCATTTTCAATCATATCATTTTACTGCGATTTTATTTATCGAACCAGGTACACAAATCTGGTACAAAAAGTAGAATGCGCCATACAAATACAGAGGTAGAACTGTTAGGAAAGAATAAAAGAGTGAAAGTGAGTACTACCAAAAAGATTAACCTCAACTGTGACGCAATTACCAGCAGTTACATATCCACACAAGCTTCTCAATTACTTCTAATGGGTTACTAAAAGCAGTGAGTGCAAGCATGGGTTTATGTCAGTCTTGTAGGAGCACTTTGGATTTGTAGGGTCAGAGATACATGCCACACTAACAGACATTACCCGTTAATTGATTTAGTGTGATTTACATAGTTTATGTATTATTGCATCTCAAAACGATGTCATCCTTATGCCCTAAGTCTAAAAGTCATCTAATTAACAGATCTACACCACTACGACCTAACTCCATTAAAGCCGTTTCTAGAGCATCATCGACGGTGAAGTTAACAAGGAATGGTGAGATCGACCAATCTTGCCTAACTCTATTGTTAGAATAGAATGAAGAGCTACAGCTAATTTATTTAAATTAATCCATTTAGAATGACATACAATGCAACTTCACAGTAAAGCAACATTATCACAAACGTTACTCACCTTCATGAATAACTTTTTTGTGTACATATAAATCATATTTCGTAGAAAGCTTTTTGTTACATTGATTACATGGATATTTTATCCCTAAAAAAAACAAGACAATAAATTATATATATATATATATATATATATATATATATATATATATTAGTAACGATTTATAACACATACTTTGCATAAACATGACCATTTTACAAGAGAAAAGGTATAAACGAGCAAATATTAATTATTGTTGTATATGAGAAATTAGGTTCACAATTTGCCGAGAGATAAACACAAACACAAGACTGAGTAATAAACTGGGAAAACTGAACAATGATAGATACAAATAAACATGTTTGACCAAAAATTACGAACAAGACTATCAAAGCCAAAATAACCCTTTATTACAACTATATCAAGTCCAGAGTACAATAAAGAGAAATCAATAGTGGGGAGATTTTGTTGTTCTATGGTGTCTCATATTTAGTATAGTTGAACGTCAGCTTTTGCTCGCTAAGCAATAACTGGGTCAATAGGTCAAATCTATTATCATATTGATGTGTGAGTTGGAATAATTCCGGGACCCCAAAACCAAAAAAGGAATTTTCATAGGAGACTACCGTCAGAGCTATCAAGTTTTGGTAAATGCAAGGTTTCACAAAACCTTTCAACCAACCAGTTGAAAAAATCTTTAGTGATCACTAGTCTGGATTTTTAAGCTGCACACGTATCATAAAATTAGACGATACTAATCCTACACCGTGAATAGAATATTCCCAAGAACGTTCTGAAAATATACAAATATTGACGTACATATCGATCTTTTGGAAAGGTGGATTTTTGTTTTACTAATAATGGGAAGCTGACTTAAGAAACTTTGTAGGTGTATTACAAGTTATGCTTAAGAGTATTCGAATTGTCTGTATTCATTCCATCAAGTCTTGTACTGATATTTCGATTCGCATACCAGTATTCGGGTTTCGACAATGGGGTTAGTTTTTGAATACGCAAAGACAATTGTTCTGCTGTGGACTGAAAAGAAGGATAGCTCATCAAGATACCAAAGAAAGGAGATCTGAGCAAATGTGAGAACTACAGAGGAATCACACTGTTGTCAGTATCAGGAAAGGTTTTCAACAGTGTTGCTGAACCGGATGAAAGATTCAGTGGACGCTCGACTTCGACATCAACAGGCTGGATTCCGTAAGGATCGGTCGTGCACAGACCAAATTGCGACACTACAGACCATCGTGGAACAATTAGTTGAGTGGAACTCATCACTATACATCAACTTCATTGACTATGATAAAGCGTTTGAAAGTGTGGACAGGAGAACATGATGGAAACTTTTTCGACACTATGGAGTTCCTCAGAAGATTATCAACATTATCCAGAACTCATACGATGGACTACAGTGCAAAGTTGTGCATGGAGAACAGCTGACAGATGCATTCTCATTAAGAACCGGAGTTAGACAAGACTGTCTACTCTCCCCCTTCCTCTTTCTTCTATTGATTGACTGGATTATGAAGACCTCGACATCTGAGGGGAAGCATGGAATACAATGGACATCTCAAAAACAATTAGACGATTTGGACTTCGTAGATGACCTAGCCCTCCTACCTCATACACACGAACAAATACAAACGAAGACAACAAATGTAGCAGCAGTCTCTGCATCAATAGGTTTCAACATACACAAAGGAAAAAGCAAGATTCTCAAATAAAACTCAGAGAACACCAACGCAATCACACTTGATGGCGAAACTCTGGAAGTTGTGGTAACATTCACGTACCTGGAAAGCATTAATTATGAACAAGGAGGATCTGATGTAGACGTAAAGACGAGGATTGGCAAAGCAAGGACAGCATTCCTACATTTGAAGAACATATGGAACTCCAAAAAATTGTCAACCAATATCAAAGTCACAATCTTCAATACGAACGTCAAGACAGTCTACTGTACGGAGCTGAAACGAGGAGAACTACTACATCCATCGTCAAGAAGGTACAAGTATTTATAAACAGTTGTCTACGTAAAATAATCAAAATTCACTGGCCGGATACCATCAGCAACAGCGTTTTATGGGAGAGGACAAAAAAGCTTCCAGCTGAAGAGGAAATTAGGAAAAGGCACTGGAAGTGGATAGGACATACATTAGGGAAATCAACAAACTGCATCACGATGCAAGTCCTAACTTGGAATCCTGAAGGGAAGCGGAAAAGAGGAAGGCCAAAGAACACATTACGCTGGAAAATAGAAGCAGATATGAAAAGGATGAATAAAAACTAGAAAAGACTGCCCAGGACAGGGTTGGATGGAAAATGTTGGTGGGCGGCCTATGCTCCTCTACGAGAGGTAACAGACGTAAGTTAGTAAGTAACTTGAATGCCACATTTTTGTACATGGACTTGAAAATCCGAAATATACTAATACCATTTCATCTCACGTCTGACGAGTAAAATAGAACATAGATATTTATTTATTTATTTATTTAAACACATATATATTGGTACAAAAGGGCACCAGGTACATATGCGCCACACAAAATAATGAAAGTAGGTAGATAAAGGATGAAAAGATAAGGCGGGCTGAAATGTACAACCAGAAGATTCTTTCAGTTAGGAAAGTTAGAACCATTCTTTATGTAGAAAGTAAAAGAAGGTTGCAGCAGGATCGCCACTGGCTTCTATTCTGAGCCATATCCGATAACGTCTCTAGCCACTGTGTTGCACTATCTCTCGGACCCCAACCAGGGAGTCGTGAAGGACCAACGGAAGCTAGCCCTTTGCAGCTCTCTTTCATGCCACGACACCATGTCATACACTGACCTCCTCTCCGCTTTCTCCAACCAGTCCCAGGGTCGGCAAATAATGCACGACGCGGAAGTCTCTGGGACGACATTCGTAAAACATGTCCGAGCCACCGAAGTCGGTGTTTCAAGATGGTGACACCAATTGAATTATCGTCTCTGCGCCCGAACACACGATGCCGAACCTCTGCATTACTAACATGGTGTTGCCACTGGATGTCAGCAATCCTTCGGAGACAACGATGATCGAACACAGAGAGACGTCTAACATCCTCAACTCGGAGAGGCCAGGTTTCACAAGCATAGAGCAAAACTGCTCTCACCGACGCGTTGTAGATCCGACCTTTTACAGCCAGACTAACATCACGAAGGCGCCAAAGATGGCCCAGATTGGCATAAGCCGCTCTGGCTTTCATTAAACGTGCATCAATCTCATCACTCACGCCACCACCAGCACTTATATAGCTACCTAGATACACGAACTTCTCAACTACTTCGATCTCCTCACCATCCAGGGTGAGTACAGGATGAGAATCCTGCCAGTCTTGTAGAAGTACTTTGCACTTGGAGGGTGCAAAGCACATGCCGTACCTGCGGACACTGATTGCCAACTGATTAAGTGCTGATTGCATGCCTTGGGCATTATCGCACAGTAAGACAATATCATCCGCATACTCAAGGTCGAGAAGTCGTTCTCCAGTCAACATATCCACACCGCCATTACTTACATCCATCAGAGCTGTTTCTAGGATGTCGTCGATGGCAAAGTTGAAGAGGAATGGGGAGATCGGGCAACCCTGCCTAACCCCACTGCTCGAATGGAACAAGGGAGAAAGGTGGTTGTATGCCCTCACTCTGCCTGAGGTGTTCGTATACAGGGCTTTTAAGATGTTAATGAACTTCTCAGGCACACCATTCTTCAATAGACAATCCCAGAGAACAGTCCTGTCCAACGAATCGAAGGCCGCCCTGATATCAAGAAACACTACGATTGTTGGCCTGCGATAAGTATGACGGTGTTCTAACATTTGGCGGAGGGTGAAGATGTGATCAATGCATCCTCGACCAGAACGAAAACCAGCCTGCTCCTCGCGAGTCAATCGTTCTCGGGTTTTAAACAACCTACGAAGAATGATAGAAGCCAATAGTTTGGACGCGATCGAAAGTAGACTTATCCCCCGATAGTTGCTACAGGAACAACGTGAACCCTTTTTAAAGATAGGGACGACTATTGACTCATTCCAAAATGTTGGGACACTTTCTTGCTCCCAAACCTTTCCAAACAACGCAGTCAGTTCCTTAGCCAGAAAGTCACCACCATCTTTAAAAAGAGCCGGAGGTAAGTCATCTGGGCCAGGTGATTTATAACGTTTCAAGAGTTGGAGTTCCTTGCGGACTTCCGCCTCGTTTGGTGGATCAGTCGTCACCGGCCATGGGGAGCAGGACAAGCTGGTTGATGTTGCCGGAGCAGCAGGCCAGTTGAACTGCCCTTCGAAAAATTCCGCCCATCGTCCAAGACGTCGACAGATGTTAGTGATTGGCATCCCGTCATCCTCGTAGATTGTTTCACTCACACCAGACTTCTTGCTGCCAGTGGCTCGGATGAGTTGGAAGAGCTTCCGGCAGTTACCAGATGCAGCTGCTGCTTCCATCTCATTAGCACGCTCCGACCACCAGGCTTCCCGGTCCTTACACAAGCTTTGCCCGATTTCATTACGTAACAGCCTTCGTTTGTGGTCAAACTCACGGTCACCCGGAGTAGACCGACGGGCTTCCATCAGTTGTAAGGAGCCAGAAGAAACCCAGTGGTTGTAAGCGGGACGTTTCGCGAAGCCGCAAGCGGCTTTACTCGCCATTTTCATGGCGTCATGAAGATGCAACCAATGCTTACCTATACTTTTCGGTGGGGTGGTAGCTAGCCTAGAGGCTAGCTCCGCTCGATACTTACTTGCAACAGAAGTTGCAGCCAGTTTACTAATATCAATCCGTTGGTGGTGGTCAATCCTTCGGCCACTGAAAAGTAAGGTGAGATTGGCGCAGACCAGGGCATGATCAGACTCCAGATAGGTACTCCAAAAGGAGCGGCAGTCTTGTACACAACCACGCCAGCGGTAGCTGATCGCGATGTGATCAATCTGAGTCCAGGTTTGGGATGCAGAGGGAGGACGCCAGGTGGCACACCGGCGATGACTGTGCCGGAAGTTAGTGCTGGCCAGAAACAGGTTGTGGTCTGTGCACAGTTGCAGCAAACGGTCCCCGTTATCTGTCCTGCGACCAACAAGTCCCCATCGGCCACCTAGACGACTCTCTTCTATGCCTAGACGCCCGACCTGTGCATTCAAGTCTCCGGCTAGTACTACAATATCTGTCGAACGCGCTTTCTGGAGAAGAACTGTTAACTGATGGTAAAACTCATCCTTGATTGCATCCGGGCTGCAATCTGTCGGGGCATAGGCGGAGATGACGAAAAGACACCGTTTCTCACGCCGATTTCTTCTCACTTTGATGGAACTTTCTAATCTAACAGCACATAACCGACTGTTAATGGGGATCCAATCGATTAGTGCTGCCTCAGCTCTAGCGCTTAGTGCGACACCAACGCCAGCAAGACCAGACGAAGATGCCACAGGGTCCCCGGATAAGCGCACGTGGAACAAGCTTTTCGAGGCGACAGATGGAGAGCGGATTTGTAGTACTTCACTAGAGTCTTGAATACGGGTCTCGGATAGACAACAAACGTCAACATTAAGACCTTCCAAAGACATAGCCAGCCCTATCTGTTGTCTGATCTGCATTAGTGTGCGAACGTTGAAGGAAGCCAGCTTGAACGGCGTACGTGGTTTCAGAAAGACTGCCTCAGTATTCATAATCGGTGGAAGCATTCACTTTCAACCAGACAGTGACTGGAGATCGTTTAGATAGGACAGATTTTCCACCAAGAGCGAGCTGCTGCATAAGTTGAAGAGTAAGGTTACACAAATTGGGGATAAAAGGGGGTGAATTAGCGATATGGTAAGTAATAATAATAATAATAATAATAATAATAATAATAATAATAATAATAATAATAATAAAGGTAATAATAATAATAATGTTAATTGTTTTGCTTTTAGTATGACCAGGGATATCGTCAATAAAGTTCATAATTTCATTCATTTGTTTGTGTGTGGGCTGTGATACTGCCCGGGTGCCCAAACCGAAGCAGGTGGTTTTCTTAGGGGACCACACCCCGAGCCTTTGACCTAAAGGTCTGATCCACAAGGCAGTGGAGCATCGTGAGGAGATGCAGTCCCATGGTTGCCGTTGACCAACAGCAGGTTCTTCCGCCATTCGTTCCATCAGGATACTGGAGCCCATGTGCACCATTGGTTTGGAATCAGGGTTTTCCAACTCCCCTAGGTGGACCCTCCGTGTCCACCAATCCGGTTATAGCGCCGAACATTCGCTTTTCGTCCTCTCACTTTCGTAAACAACACCCCCGCCACGAGAAGGCAGTGAGTAGGACTTCCCTGGCAGAGGCTATATATTCGCTGGCCATGTGAGAGCATTTCGAGAGAGAGAGAGAGTAGACTCTCCCCACTCTCGGCCGTACCAGGGCATTTGGGGGCAACATAGATAACTGACAGCCCTACATATATTTCGCTAAGAATGTCAACGATTTATAAACCCTAAATTGAATCTTAGTGTGATTCAGAGAGCAGAAAATTCTGGTTCAGTACATGCGATTCAAAAAAAATCAGAAATTAACCAAAACCAAAAAAAAAAGGATTTTACTCCATCAACAAATTGGCCGTATCGTTACTTAAAGAAATATCATTACTAGCAATGCAACAAAGTTGAAAAGATATGGTTACTACGAAGCACAGCTTGACACCAAAAAATCCACAGAAAGATGTAGAAAATTTTTTTAATAAACCGTTAAATTCACTTAAAAAAATTGTTTGCAATATTCATGGTTCGTGATCAAGCCAGTGGGATATAGGCGTCATCACTAATACATAGATATCTTACGCACAGTCTGTATCAGAAACAAACATCACATTAGCAAGTTATGGAAGTACATAGACACACATGAATTCAAGAAAACCCGTCAGCTTGCGAGGCGTGTTTCCAATGAAATATTCCACCGAAACAGGTTACTACGCTGTAATGTTATATGACATGAAAATGCCAACCCTAAGTCATGTCGTTTTGAATACGCAAACCTCATTTGATTGTATCAAACCACACTGTGACTTGGTAAGTGTGACAAAGGAGAACATATTATTGCTTTCCTAGTCAATAACCATAATACCAAATTACTACACGTCAACTGGAACTATAAAGAACAAGCGCGAAATGTAACATTTTGTCTTCAATGTTGGAAAATGTATAGAAAACCGAGGATACTTTTAGAGCTATATGTGACCTTTGGTAAATATCCAGTTAAAAACGATACATATTATTTTTCATTTCTTAGATGTTTCTAGTAAGCTTCTGTTTTACTCTAATTGGAAACAACATTTCCCAGTGCTTTCTGGGACTCTGGAGACTTTGGCAATGGATATTTTCGGACTCTTAAATAGAAATAAAATATAAACCTTCAAACAAACAATGATAATGATTTAACAAATTGAATCACTTAAGAGCTTCCTGAAGCATTTAAAGATGGTCTAATCTAATACACAACAAAATCTATTTCAAAAGAAAAACTCGATAATATACCTTCAGGTATGGAGTACCTTGTGATTATCTAGAGAGAAAATAACATACTTCAATTTATACGATTGAATAATATCACAATCCACAAAACAACCATGTTAATATACAATTAGAAATATGAATAACTTGAGTTATCAATACATTCTAACAAATTTTAACAGAATCCTTTCTTATAGAACAAGCTCACTTCCCATTATCTTATAATCATGTAGTTCATACCTTTAGAATATCTAATTGCTCGTACTTTTCTTATAGTAAGAAAAACTCAACAAAAAACAGATTGAAATAAGAATGGAACTAGTGAACAGGATGTGTAAACATAATAGAATCCACAAAATACACATAAATGTAATTGTTTGATTGTAAAAAATGATTATACCTTCATGAGCTGATTTTATGTGTCTATTTAGTTGAGATTTCGTAGTGAAGTTCCTATCACATTTATCACATGAAAGATTAATACCTGTGAGGAAAACAACACAAAGATTTGTCAAAGCATAATTAATCATTTAAGACAATAATACCAGTGAAAAATAAAAGGTTTTCGAGGCTTCATATTCTGTGAACAAATCAAAAGATGTTAAGAGATACTCATCAGAGACTAAATGGTCGTAAAGAATATTTTTTGTAGTGACTTGTTGAGAAGGTATATTGCACACAGCACCACACAGAACATCATAATTACCACAATAACTCACCTTGGTGAATAACTTTCTTGTGTTCAATTAAATGGAATTTGGTTGTAAACTTTCTGTCACATTGAATACATGGATATTTTATTCCTAAAGAGAAAAGAAATGATAATTAAGATTATTAAATGTACTTATAGAATTTCGCGAACTAATTATGATTGAGTAGACATAAGAGATCTATTATTATATATGTGTGTGAACTGAGATACTATCTAGACGCCAAAACTAAAGTAAGTGATTTTGTTAGGTCGGTTACTGTCGGAACATATGACCTAAGGATCTAATTCACATTAGGACATCCAGTTCCCCGGGTAGCCAGTGGCCAAAATCAATTTGTACATCATTCATTTTTAAGGAAACCAGAGCTCACAGTACAGCATTCCTTCTAAATCAGAGTTTTTCAACTCCTCCACATCGACCCTGAGTATCTACAGACCCGGTCAGAACTTTGGAGATTCGCCTTCCGTTTTCCCATAAAAGCGTTCAAACCATATGCTTTTAGTTTGAAGAACAAGTTAAGGTGGTTAAATTACAATCACAGAGAGATTGAATTGCATAATAAACTGATTTTCTGATACCAGTTAGCTATTTGTGAACTGATTTTTAAACCAGTCCGTTTTATTGTAGCCTATGTGTATCTATAAGTACGTGTTGTACAATATGAAGAAAGGTCAGGTGGTTACCTATTTTACCGGAATTCACTGATATTAGTACTTGATAAAATGATTAATTCCTGTGAGTGTTTTTCATTCACTTGCTAAATGAAGTTTGCCAACCATTGGATCGGATAGACAGAATCAATCAACATCAAATCACTGAGATGATTTTTAATTATTTGCCATTTTGTTTACAAAGTATTCCAAGTAGCAGTATGGTGAGAACAAAATAACAACTGTAGTATACGAAATAAAATGAATGTGTAATGATATAAAGTGAAATAATGATCATTTTTTCCATTGGGATCGTGATAGTATGGTTTTTACTATATTTCGTGTACGTCACATTGAGCTCCGATCACCTACCTCCAAAAAAGAGTGGTTAATCAAAATACAACACTCACTATCGCCAACTCATTATTTAAGAAATTTTAATACCATTTTGAGACACACATTGCATCTTACTGTATACTATAGAAAAAATCAACAGTATTTGATTTAAATCTTCAAAAGAATGGAAGTGAGGTATAATGATGTGGATGAACTGTGTTTTTTTGATAAGCAAAGTTTATTTGTTTAATGAAAATAATACAAAATGTGAATACTGTGGTAAAATGAATATTAAAATGAAAACAAACAGGTGGAAACAAATGCAATTTATTCTAAACATACAATCTAGTGTGATAGATCTATCATTGTAATGTTTGGTTTAAAAAACCCAAAATCTGACTTCGAAAGAAAGAAGCATGAATCAACATTTAGTCAGTAGTAACATTGAAACAACAAAAAATAGTCACAACTTATTAGGCGTAAAAAGCAAACAAACAACAAGAAATGTATCATCTACTTTTGTGAATGCTTTTAATGTGGCGGTCTCGTCCAGCTCTTGTTGAAAACGTCTTGTTGCAAAAAACACACGACGGTTTCATTCCTGTAAATATAAAGAATTAACTTAGGAAATCCATTGCAAGAACAATGGGAGTTTTGAAAGAACAGTAAAAAGAAGAGAATCTACTGTAGTCAAGATTACTACCAAGGTTAATTGCCAAACTATTTTTTGCGTTTATCAGAGAGATTAATAAGATACATATAGAAATAAATATATGTCTTAATTAGCATATCAGTTGTCATAATTTACAACAAGACGAATGAACTCTGTAAATTTTCTACATTACATCAGACTCAGTAATCAACAAGTCACACACTAACAGTTCTATTTAGTAATGAACACTGTAAATTCAATATGAAGAATATTTTCAAAAGATGAACATATTAAAATTTAGTATGTTTCTTTCAAGATATACCTACCCTCTTCAGAATCTTGTACTGATGAGATTTGACGTCGCTTAACAGTTGTACCACCATTATTACGGTTATAAGCACTAACAATATGACCATCATTATAGTTATATTTATCTACAAAAGGGAATCATACAATATTACATGCATGTTTCCAAATAATTTATTAACATAATAATCAGATTTGCAAAATTGATTTGAAGAAAAAAGGTAAATAGAAATAAATTTGACTTTGATGTAAATCATTAAAACCATAGCTGATGAAAATAATATACATATACCAACAGAAAGGATACAGAAAGCTTCTAAATACGGTTCAGTCAGTATATTTATCCAACATACAGATCATTAAGACTGTTGTAGAAAGTGAAGTCAGGATAAATCTACTGACAGATTCATTTTTCATTAGATATAACTTAAGGAAGATTGTGAATGATTAGCATTGGATAAATTTAGAATAATACTTTAATGATACAGGTTAAGAGTTAAAATACCTTAGTAAAATAGTTTTAAAATCAAGTCTTTTTAGAGGATTGTTAAAAAACCGGTCGAAGCATTACATCTATATTTGACTGATTGGAGCAGCTTTACACCATTCAATTCTTCCAATGTGAACAGAATGAGAGAAACGAGCGAAATTGTTTCAGGCGTTCAGAAGTTATGGTCAAAAGTGTAATCACGAAATTAGAGGTCTCGGATATTTCCGTAGGATTTTGTCGCAGTGAATTTCTATGAAAAATTTCAGGTCACATTTCTTAAATAACTTTTGTATGACCCGATAGATTTTGCTGATTCTTGATGTATTTTGTGCAGAATTGCAAATATTGTTGTTTCTAGACCAACTTTTCATCTATCCAGAACTCAGAATCAATCGAGCGGCAATGTACAGTCTTAAGTGATTCAAACCCCTAAAACATGTATGAGTATCTTGATATAATTATATATAATTCAACAAATTTTTTAAAGTAATAAACTATAATAACACTTACGTTTAAAACTGTCCTCCGAATACAACGAATGATTATCTCGCAAAATTCCTAACTTATTATCTATTAGACTGTCATCCATAGTGTTATCATAATTACATTCCTCCGCTAAAAACGAACATAATATCTATAAGAATGCAGAATACATAGTCAAACGATAGATAATAAGTCAACTCAGTCAGTCAGTCAGCGACAACGTAGGACCAGGCAAATATATGCATCTGTCTAAGTTGCCATACCTCGTTAGCACAACAAGATCAACACCGGATTCATAGAGGTAATTAATTTAGTGGTGGTAGTATATAAAGAAAGGTTGTATAGAAGGATATAGTATAGGAAGGGAAAAAAAGTTATGAAGCAATTTTAATCTCAAGGTTTAAGGGAAGACAAAGAGTGTATACACCTACGCCATTGTGATCGATTCTGAGCCATGTCCCCACAGTCTCCAACCATTGGTTACGATAGTCACCCGGACCCCAACCAGGTAGTCTGCATCTACCAACATGGCTCAGACTAGAAGTTAGTGACTTCAAGCTCTGATGCCACGTTTTGGTTTGGCCGCCCCTAACTCTCTTCCAACCATCCCCTACACTAGTCAACATTGCGCGTCGTGGTAATCGGTGTTCAGGCATACGTAACACGTGGCCGAACCATCTCAGTCTATGAAGATTCAAAAACTTATCAACTGATTTACCATCATTCCTTGATACCCTGTATCTAACCTCACTATTACTTACCCGGTGATCCCAGCAGATGCGAGCAATATTTCTAAGGCATCTGTGGTCAAATATTAGTAACCTACGAGTATCTTCTACTGTTAATGGCCATGTTTCGCAGCTATAGAGTAAAACAGAACGAACTGCTGCGCAGTATACTCGTCCCTTAATTGATAGACGGATATCTCGTCTTCGCCATAGGTGACGTAAGTTGGCAAAAGCCAAACGAGCTTTCTGAATCCGTGCTGAGATTTCGTCAGAAACCAACCCATTAGGGCTGATCAGACTTCCAAGATAAGTGAAGTTATCGACGCGTTCGACTACTTCACTCCCTATCCTTAGTTCAGGTGTTGACGCAGGCCAGTCCTGGAGTAACAATTTACATTTGGATGGGGAGAAACGCATCCCAAACATCCTGGCATTATTACACAGTTCTAACAGAAGACTCTGAATTTTGTCAGTGTCTTCACCAAACAGGACTATGTCATCTGCGTATTCTAAGTCGATAAGTGAACCTCCTGGTAGAAGATCAATTCCTGAAAATTCAGTCGACGAGAGTGTTATTTCCAGCAACAGGTCTATAATGAAGTTAAACAAAAATGGGGATAGTGGACAGCCTTGACGGACACCACTTGAGGTTGTAAAATCATATGACAGTTCGCCATAAGCTCTCACTCGATTGGTAGTGTTCGAGTAAAGAGCCTTCACAAGGTTTATGTACTTCTCAGGTACACCTTTCAATTACAGACACTGCCACAGAACCTCTCGGTCTACAGAGTCAAATGCTGCTTTTAAGTCAAGAAAAACTATCATTGTCGGACGCCGATAAGCATGTCTGTGCTCTAAAACTTGACGAATGGTGAAGTCAACTACGTAACTGTCACCTATAATTGAAGATGGGTTTATACTAATAATGGGCGGTCATTAGACGGTGTATAACCAATAACATGTTTTTCTAGTCTATTAGTAATAATCATATTACAGTGTAGCTACTAGCTTACCCCATGACTTGCAAGTTTACTATGCTCTGATGTTAGTCAATTGCACGAAATCGTTAGGAAACCATGAATCAGACTTTTGTGTGAATCACCACTCGACATCCGTAAGATTTACCTGAACATTCTTAATGGAACTGATGCTCCCTGTTGGATTCTAGCCTAAGTCAATCAGTGTCAGTGACAGATGTTATCACTACTAAGCCATTCTAGTCGCAACTAGGGAGCGTAACATAGCACGGAACTAAAGCCTAGGGTATCTTGGCGATTCCCTTTAATGAATTAATATTAGAATTTAATATGCACTTACACTTAAGCCTAATACAATGTGTTATTTCCTACCTTATTGATTTCAACCCACTCCATTGTTAGTATTTTACTAATATTCGTGCAACTTTCCCCACCCTTATATCTCCGAATTAAGATTCACATTAAAAATGTCAGACATATTAGAATATTTTGTCGACCTAGAACAAATATGCATCAGGTCACGTCACCGCATTACATTAGCTTAATGTGATAAAGTTAATGAGATAAACGGTAAATGAGATGGCTGTATTGCTGATCACAATATAACGAGTAAAAATATATGCAAGCGACCCACAAAACAATACGATAACAATAATAATTCGGATACGTGGTATTGAAAGTAAAATATTATTGGAAAAACAGGCTATTAGCCTACTGAACATTAAATATGGTTTTCTTTCGTCTAATTGATTTATACTCCGGACTCACTAAGTGATTCCTTTTAATGGTGTTAAATAAAGTATTACCTAGTGTTAATCTGATACTCTATTCTGGGTCGTGAATACTGGATCCGGTATAATGTGACTGGTCCTACTGTCGTTTTGACGTATTACCGTAGCATACTTGAGAAAAATATTTCAAACCAACAGTAATATTAAATTCATATGAAGAGGTCTGAAAGATATTTTCTGTTCTATATTATCAGTTGTTCACATGACTAATGAAAAAACTTAAGTCTTAAGAAACAAACTTGACAAAAAAGTGCGAAATTGAAAGAGAAAGAAGGCAGAAATAGATCAATGGGCCATATATATAGTATTTACCAATTATTTTTCAAATCCGTGACCGGTCCTACTTCAAGTTAATTTTAAATAGGACGACCTGTGTTTAGATTACAGGGTCTCTTAAATTTACTGACATAAGTACTTATCAACGAGTGGCTATATGCTTTGTATGGGTTTCTTATAACGTGTCGATAGATAAATTCGTTGCACTAGTATAAAAGTAATCACCTACTTTTTATATATTCTTCAGGCCCAATGTTTAAATTACTTGATGTGCATTCATTTGATGATTTGTAGATCACACCATCCAACCCCATTGGTTGTTCAACCTTACAAGTGATTCCAAAACAGAAGTCAGATACAGGTATCGCCATTTTACTTCAATGCTCAAACATTGGAAAGTCTATAGCAACTGAGACAAGTGACAAGAAACCTTTCAAAAATTTCAAGAACCAGAAAGTATGTCAAATTCCTAGTAAAACAATTATGTTCACATTAACTACTTATTTATTTAGAATACATCAATACGAATGGGGACCAAAATAAACATACGCCGCACAAGTAATACAATGAAATTATGAATAGATTGTGTCAGCATTACTGGAAATTCACCAATTTATGTTTCAAAGAGGGTCACAATTCAGTGCGTTGGTTGATCCATTTTCAATCACTAATAGCAGACAAGCTGGCAAAACTTTAGAATTTTTCCATGATATATATATATATATATATATATATATATATATATATATATATATATATATGATTTGGTGACAGTCGAACCTGGTACGTATGTACACCGGTTCAAGTTAATATACGCATATATATGATTATATTTTTTAATTATATTGGCGACTTGCTGTTTACTATGGACTATATTTACGTTTCTTTTCGTGTGTTTCAATCTGGAGACTAGTCGAGTGTAGTGAAGAGTCTAAGAAGATTAGTCACTAGGACGGATAAGACAGGAGATAGATAAACAAATGACTAAAAAAGCAAGAACGGATTATGATAGGATATGGTTGTGACAAAAATACAACTAGGTAGTATTTTAGTTAAAGAAACTTCTCATATTTATGAAAGATGTGGAAAATAAATTACAGCAAGATCACCACTGGCTTCCATTCTGAGCCACATTTGATAACGTCTTAAACCGCTGAACTGTGCCACTGTGAAGCTTCCAAGCAAGGATTCATGGTGAACCGACAAAACCACTCCTATATAGTTCTTTCATACCACGGTACAATTTTATAAACTGGGTTTATTGTAGTCACATATTCCATGGTAACTACAATTAATTGTTCGCATACCACTATCAACCATAAGAGAGAACTACCTAAAACAAATTTCACAATAATTTTCAAGTACTAACAGGATGACCAACGTTCTGGAATCATTTTTATCCCCATGAGTTCACTAATCTTGACAAATTCAAGCTTTACAGAACCAACTCCTGGTGTGGTCCCCCAAGAAAACCACCTGCTTCGGTCTGGACACCCCGGTAGTACTCCAGCCCTCATATAAGTCGAACGATTTATGTGGTGCATATCTATTTGGTGCCTCCTTGTACTAATGCTTCTGTTTAAAATAAAGGTGACAGTGAGTCTTGTGTTTTGGCAAGTAATCCGAATTCCTCGGTTGAATAACCATTTAACCGTATGGCTACAGAGCGTTTAGGCATTATAGCTGATGTCGGTACATGATTAAAACCTCAACTCTGATTTGTAACCCTGAGTTTTAACTATAACTCCCAATTCCTAACATTAATTTGCAACCCTATTACGATCCTATGAGGACACAGGCAATAGCAATCACTACATTTAATCGATAAAGTTTCTTCAATGCCACTCCGAGATATATTAAGGATAATATATGAAACACATTATGACATTAAGATGATTCGAAAGGTAAGGCTAGAAGTGCTAATATTGTAGCACGTTATATATTAACGTTCACTTGGAAGCAGGAGCGATCTGAAACAACACAACAGTCAGGACATGTAAATGCCGCTGAAGTAGGAGCGCAGTGTACCGGCACAACAGATATATTTTTTAAAATTGGAAGACGTGGTTCGAGTACAAAGAAGAAAACTTATTACGAAATAGTTTTATTTATTGTTCTGCAGGTTCAGCTTACGTATGGCTTGTTCCTCTTCTTCCAGTACATTTACTCTTTGCTGCGCTGCAATAAGAAAAACAAACTCGCATTAGCAACGTTGCATGTAGTGATTTCTAAAACCGTTACAATATGACATTTCGAATTGTTTAGATGCACGGCCTAACGACCTCCAATGATAAGGTTAAACATACCGCTGACAAGCCGGTAAAGGAATACTGACCTGACGACCTTCTCATCTACTATAATAAAATATCTTTATCAAAAGCTTGCATAAACTAACTAATTTTATTCCCCCGCTTCTTGTTTCATCGGTACGGTCCCATGCATTTGGTTATATCCAATCGGTGGTAGTCCAGCAAGTAGACTACACTAGTTGTTGTCAGTCCCGTAGTTATTTGTGGATTTGTATATCTTGTAGTCTAAGTGATCACGTTTGTCCCAGGTAATTAGAGTTTCTGGATACCATCGGCTATCGCATTCTAATTCAGGAGGTTAGTTGGTTGTTTGCAGTTTGAAAATAATAAAGCGATAATTCGTGTGCTAAGGGGAGACGATTAATTTAAAAGTAAACAAATTACTTGAGTGGTAATTTGTAAAAAGATGTAATGGGAACAATAAGAGAGAAAATGGAGATGAGAATCAGTTACTGGTTACGCAGTAATGATAATCGTGATAACTAGTGTGACATGCATCATAGGCAGTTGGTCCAAGAGGGTGATGGGTGAGTATGTTTGTCAGATCTCCTCTTAAATTCATTCACTGGGGGTGACTGTGATCACTTCAGTTAGGAGATTATTCTAAACGGGGACAACTCCCAACGAGAAAAAGTGAGACCATACCTCATTGTCCTCTCTTTAACGTGCAATTTCCGAGGGGCGCCTCGAGAAGCATAGTGATGACCGCCTAGTAATATACTCATATCCGGGTTACTTGAAGTACTGAATGTATTTTATGCCATTATTAGATCACCTCTTATCTCCCTGCAGCTTATGGAGAATAATCCGGTACGTTGAAGTTTATCCTCGTAAAATTATGTTTTAGACCTATCATCAACTTCGTTGCTTGTGTCTTCACTTGATCTGAGAGATTCATACCTTTTTGAAGAGAAGGGGTTCAATGACATTGTTTTTTAAACAATTTGAGAGTGATTTATCATTGAATAAGAAGACACTGTCTTTTTATGCAACGTCTCATTTAGAGCAATAAAAAAGTGGAATAATGGCCTCAATCTCTCGTTGTAAAATAAAAATGTCGAATTTATGCTTGAGATGTAGGGCTAGCATTTCAAGTCAGAGCTATATCTCCCTATTGAACTTTTGAGGGTTTTCTTTGTAGTTGTTACAGTTATTATTAAGACGATATCTGGGTCGAATAGTTGTAATTTGCAAACAAACATTTGGTGCCTAAATTAGGGTTTGGTTTTATTGTTATTTGGGAACGTAAGTTACTAGTAGATCGATGTGTCATGCCTCAATAGTGGAAGAGAGCTAAAATATGGACATAACAATGACCCTATAAACACGCGAAATGGACTAACAAAAATTAAGGAAGGCGGTAGACAATAATCAATAACGACATAAGACTCAGGCGAATTCAGGAAATGGGAACTAGATGCAGGTAGTTTAACCTGCAGTGTTTAGTGGTGATACATACTTACATGACTCACCCTAGCCTTCAAAAAGACCTTGAAAACTCAGACAGCATGTGGCTATCGGATGACTTTTACCGTTATAATAACATCATCGATTTCAAAGAAAATTGTGATCTTCATCACACGTTTTATTTTTATGCCCTAGTATTCCTGTGCTTATGCACCTTGTGTTTATTTGTTTATATCTATCATCTAATATTTTATCCAGTGTCTGTCTCTTTGTCACACTACCCATCATCTATTTGGAGCTATATTAAGTATTAGTATAGTGAATTAGAATTGTTCTTTCTGCGGTTTCCCTGTCTGCTTCGCTTCTCGTGTCGCCTTTCTGAGACAAGCATACGAATTATATGTATTTGAGATTCATGATCGCATTTAACTAATTTTGGTCGACTATCTACTAAAGCGAACTAGGTCGATAACTGTATACAAGGGCAGTGCGTTCTTCTTTTAAACTTATTCTGTATTTTTTGTATATTTGTCATCATTTTCGAAATTACTTGCAATTGTCATTAACAAACTGTACACGAATCCTGAATTCCAGGTATTTCTTTGATTTTGCTGAGTCTTCTAATGACTTTTATCTGTGTTTTGCTCAATGTTGTCTTTTTGGCGCCTGCCAAATTTGGAGGCTTTACTTTGGTTGATACTCTGTGAAATGGTTGCTTTTGTTTCATGTACTTAATCTTGAAGCGTTTTCAATGTTTACTCTACAGAGGTTTTCTATTATTAACTGGCTATTAGTTTTGTCTTTTGTATAGTTACCGTTTTACCGTGGATTGTCCATCCTGAGAACAGAATAAATTGGCCTGCCCATTTTCATCATTATGAGTCAACCAGAGGCAAACCCACTGAAACAGTTCAGTTCATGCATCTGACATTTTACTCGCTTGTTTTGCTACTGTTGGCTTCCAATGACTGCTCTTGTGCTTAACATGTATATTTTTCACTCAGACCAGCCGTGTGTACTCCACACGAACCACTCCCAATACTGATTTTTAGGCATAAGATATATTTGATAGCTCCATACTACAACGTAATACTGTGAAAAATTGTTTTACTTACACACGAAGCATATTAGATTGAAAAAATTACTTGGAATTTCCTAGTTACAAACGCCTTTGCCTTATATCTGTAAATGTCACTAGGCTAACTACAGCAACTTCTTATGGAAAGTTTGTAACTCGTCATATTCTTAACTGATGTTCCGTAAGTATTCTTAACTTTAAAATTATTTTTCTGATCAAGAATATCATTTTCAAATTGTCATATACCTCACCAACCTGTATTTTAACCTGGCCCGTACATGAGTTGTATTATATCTTCTCTGTCATTCGAAATTAATAATTAGTAGAACCGCCTTTAACATTCTTCCATAAATCCATCATAGTTGTTATCGGTATATGTATTTGGGTTTATTAATTGATCTATAATATTAGTTGCCTAAAAAGACGAATATAGTTTAGATATTTAAGTCACCAAATTTGGGCATCATCATACTGCAATAGCTTAATACCTGAATTATCAGGTAGTTGTCGGTCAAACAAACATTTAAAATCAAAACTCAGAAGCCTATTATCAAAAAGAACACTATGTAGACGAATATTTTTGAATTGAAATTCATAAGGTAATCAGGCAGCTCGGGTTCGTTAGCGTTAAAAACTATTTCAGAAGCACCCAAAACAACAATGCCCATATCTCTATGGCTAATCCTCAATCAATACTATAACTAGTTAAACATAATGGTTTCTGGTTATCGTCATAAGGCATTGCCGTGACTTAACAATCACGTAATATGATTGACAAAGTTGATGAAGCTATTATTATATTCGTTCAACAAATCGACTTGTAATTATCACCAAATAGTGTTGTTTTCTCGTTATCTACACTCACTACAGATGATTACAGTATGTCTCTCAGTCGGTTGCTAATTCAGTAA